ATTTTCACACTTAACAGAGTTAAATGTTCAGTTTAGTCCAACAACTATAGGGGAGTTAAATGTTCATTTTAGTGCAATCAGGGTATACTTCTAATCGGGATGGAATCAATCAGTGTTCTAGTTTCAAATTTTATGGGGGTGAAGAATATAAGTTACTATTTAAATAATGGCAGCAGTGGGGTCTTCAAAAACTCAAAGGGGTAGAGACATAGCTCCTTTGGCCACCATATAGTTTCTTCCACGTTTGGAAGAAATGTACAAAAATATTGTCTTTTATCAAAATAAAATTTTAACTATTTCTTTTTTCTCTAGAACGGCTGATTAGGGGCGACGATTTATCCATCATTTTTTTTCATGGGTGAAACAACGAACTGTACGAATATTTTGATTTTTGCTGAAAGTCTTTTGATTGTTATAGTCTCTCGCTTGAACTTCTCTCACGAATTAGTCTTGAACCAATACCAAGCTACTTTCTTTTTTAGTAGATCCTGAATGGGTCTATCGTTCTCCCCATTATAGTCTACATTTCGTCGGAATATATTCTATCTTTTCACTTTCATAGTTTTTAAAATACCAACTATCCTGTAGCTTTAAACTGTCTTTCTGTCTCTTCTCATTATGTCGCCTTCAAAACAAAAGAAAGAGGGAGAGCATTATTGTTTTACATCTAATATATGAGGATTATAATTAAATTAGGGGTAATTCGTACTTAAATGCATAGTTTAATGTGAATGATTTTGAGAAAAATATTGATAATCGTTGAATAAATCTATTTAAAGCTGTCAGATAAGTTTATTAAAATTTATCATATTTTATATTATATTATATTACTAGTTATTGCATATACCTAAAGACATAGAGTAATAAAAAATGATAAACAATAAATATATTTGTATTCATATCCAAAATTAAATAACAAACGTAGAGAAGAGATAAAAGAATTTAAACATCGATTTGTAGTAGAGGTGAGAGATAGTAGGCGGTAATGGTGGTGGTAGGAGATAGTAATAGTTGTGGTGGCGGTGGTGGTGGCGGGGATGATAATAGTGGTGGCAATAGCGGCAACGGTGGTGGTGGTGGTGGCGACGGCGGCGACGGTAGTGGTAGTGGGGATAGAGATAGTGGTGGAGCGGTTCAAAATAATCTATATATTTTTAAAGTATTTATGAGAAATAATTCTTAAAAATATTATTAAAAAATTACTCCAAACACACCCTTAAGACCAATTTTTTTTTATTAAATTTAGAGTTTTAATATTAGTCGTTAGATTAACTTTAAAATAAAAGTTAAAGCGATCTCAACCGCGAATAATAAAAGTCATTTTATTTATCTTTTGAGATTTGAATTGCAAACTATTTTATTATATAGACTAGTTATTGTTTGTGCCTGAAGGCACAGAATAATAAAAAATGGTAAACAATAAACATATTGTGCTTGCAGGATCTTGCACAATATAAAAAACGAGAACAGATCTCTCCCTTGGTGAACTCGAGTGAGTCAATTGAGTGATCAACCACGCTGCTTGGGACAACCTGCGAGGTCCGGTGGTAATCTGGAAAGGTAACGGAAGGCCCCTCGTGAATTGAAGGAATGATCCAGTAAGGCTGATCCAGTAGTAACCTGGAACGGCAACGGGAGACCCTCGTAAATTGAAGGAATGATCCAGTAAGGTTGGGGAAAGGTTCCTGGAACAAAGGAGAACAAGTTAGAAGGGCGCCGGAATGGCAACGGTGGTGGTGGTGGTGGCGGCGGCAGTGGCAGTGGTGGTGGCGGTGGTGATGATGGTAGAGATAGTGGTCGCGCAATTTCAAACACTATTTTTTTAAAGTATCTATGAAAAATAATTTCTAAAAATGCTTTTAAAAAGTTACTCAAAACACACCCTTAAAGCCTTATTTTTCTTATTAAATTTAGGGTGTTAATATTAACTATTAAATTAACTTTAAAGTGAAATTTAAAGCGATTTCAACTGAGAATAACAAAAGTCATTTTGTTTATCTTTTGAGATTTGAATTGTAAACTACTTTATTATATAGACTAGTTATTACCTGTGCCTGAAGGCACAAAATAATAAAAAATGGTAAACAATAAAAATATTTGTATTCATATCCAAAATCAAATCACAAATATAGAAAAAAGATAAATAAATTTAAACATCGATTTGTAGAATAGGTAAGAGGTTATAGGTGACAATGGTGGTGACGATGATGGTGGTGGTGGTGGCAACGGTGGTAATGGTGGTGGCGACGGTGGTGATGGTGATGGTGGCAGGGTGATGGCGGTGGCAGTAGCTGTGATGAAGGGGTGGTGGTGGTGGTAGAAGTAACGGTGAGACAGTTTCAAACACTATTTAAAAAAAAATTATTTATGAAAAATAATTTCTAGAAGTACTTTTAAAAAGTCACTCTAAACACACCTTTAAGAACCTATTTTTCTTATTAAATTCTGAATGTTAATATTAATTGTTAGATTAATTTTAAAATAAAATTTAAAGAGATCTCAACTGTGAATAGTAAAAACAATTTTATTTATTTTTTAAGATGTGAATTATAAGCTATTTTATTATATAGATGTTTAAACATAAAATAAATTAATGATAGACACAAAAAAAAATATGGATACCAAATTAAAGTTAATTGAGAATTATATAATCGATTTGATTGATTTGTAGCTGCTTATTACAATTTATAAAATTAAAAACAAGAAGAAAGTAGCCGGAAAAAAAAAGTAAAAATAGGATAAAAAAATTATGTTTTGATATTGTAATGAAATCTTAAATATTATCAATTTAGAAAATAGTCAATTAGATTAACGTCCGAATGTGTATATAATATAAATACCCGAAAGTGAAATAACGTGGCACTCTACTGCAGACGATGATGATTGAAGAAAAGGAGGGGCGGTTGAAGGGTGGAGAGAGACAACACCTGTTAACTTTTAATTGGCCCTTTAAATTTGAACCTCAAACCCCATCTCTTTCTATCGCCACCTCAGACAGCGACTGATTGGGACACGTTTCCTTTGTTTACTCTCTCTCTCTCCAAATTGCTTCGTTGTCAACTACACTTCCGTTGTGGACTCCAATTACCAAATAACCCCCGGAATGGGACTTCTCATATTTTAAGCTGAAATTACAACCATACCCATTATGTTTGTTTTGATAATTCCAAAAGGTATATTGTATTTTTTGAAATTTTATATACATGTTGAACTTTTGTGATAATGTGTCTTAAATGATGCAATGAAAATTTGCTTTAATTTTAAAGATAGTTCAAGTGACAACATGAATTGTTTATAAATTCAAATTTTAGTTACACTTTATAACCCGATTTTTTTTTTTTTTTGTATCGACAAAAAAATCTGGATTATTTATGTTTGAACACTAACACCAAAAAGACTTGTGATCCAATATGGTATTTCAATTAATTAGATTTGACTAAAATCAACCAGCGTATTATTTCACCCAGGGATTTAGTTAAAGGAAACTGATTTATCATTTCTTTATCACATCACTCATTTCTGTCACAAATTAAATTATTTGATATTTTTAATTAATTATAGCTCAATATGATTTTTATTTCAGACGTTATTCATATATAATATTATACACATATTGATATATCAAATTACGTAATTAAAAGAAATGGAACGAAACAAAAATTATTATTTAATGTAAAGGGATAACTTTTTCAGACGCTCAGATTTTATGTTGTATCATTCTTTTAGACGTAAATTATGATTAGTATTTTCATAAATGATAATTATTTCACTTTTTGTCATTGAAACATTTGTTAATCTATGATAGATTGGGTCAAACCATATTCTTCAAAATGTGAGATGAAAAAAAAAATCCAATATTAAATAGAAAAAAATATAGGAAATATTTCAATCATACTCCTTCTAATTTATCATATTTTTAAGGATACTTCTCTATTTTTTGAATTTTCACTGTTACCTCTATCAGATTAAAGATGTTAAGTAGAATATTAAAATTGTCCATATTATATTTTAGAAAAAATTTTATTCACACCCCTCTAAACAGTCATATCTTCAATCAGACGCTCAATTTTTAATTTTTTTTTACTTATTAAAATTCGGACTGATTAAAATTTGATTCAAGTTAATTAAAATTCATTTTTTACGTATTAAAATTCGAGTCGATTAAAAATTATATTTTTTTTATGTATTAAAATTTGAACTGATTAAAATTCATTTTTAATTAGCTCGAATCAAATTTTAATCAACTTGTATTGAATTTTAATCGATCCAAATTTTGTTACATAAAAAAATATAAATTTTAATCGATTTAAATTTTAATACGTAAAAAATAAATTTGAATGAACTTGAATCAAATTTTAATTAGAACAAATTTTAATAAATAAAAAAAATATAAATTTTAATCGACTCAAAGTGAATTTTAATTAGCGTTAATAGTTCATGTAGAACTTAAATCAACTTGAATTATAATACGTAAAAAATGAATTTTAATAAGCTTAAATTTTAAGACGTAAAAAAGTAAAATTTGAGCATCTCAAATCAAATTTTAATATATAAAAAAATAAATTTTAATCAATTTGAAGTTTAATATATACAAAAATAAATTTTAATCAACTTAAATTTTGTATAGAAAGATTGTTTGGAGTTTATATAGGGACAGTTATGATATTTTTGATGAATATTTTTTTGTTAAAAACAGTGGTTTAAAGGGGGGAGTATCATTGATGTTCAAATATAAACTAAAAAAAGTGTAAGTGATGTATTGAATAATAGAGGAGGTGACCGTGAAGATGCGATAGATTAGAAAAAGTGTGACTGAAAATGTTTTCAAAATGTAAAGTAGAAAGAGGGGCAATATAGTAATTACACTTGCGTTGTCCACTAACTCAACCAAGAGACCCCCCTGGCCCTCAGCACAGCGGCCCAGCTATCCTGGCCTATATTATACTCGTAGCCCCAGTTAATGGTCTCCCACCATTTTTAGAAGAAAGAGAAAATAATAGTCTCTCTCTCTCTCTCTCTCTCTCTCTCTCACACTCAGTCACTAAGCTTCTCCTTCCAAACCACCGCTGACTTTAATCCCTCACTTCTCTTCAATCTGGTTTCTTTCTTCTTCCGATATACCAATCCATCCAACACTCACTCTTTCTCTGTTACACACATACAAACACACTCTGTGTTTGGTTTCGTTGTAAGGTGTCGATGTATGTGATGATGGGTGTGAGCTGCTGTAGGTGTTCCCATACCTCTCATATCACTGAGATTATAATCACCAGCTTCTTCCGTCACAAGCTTTGAACCCCTAAGATTTCATATTACAAATTAAGGAAAGCGAAACTTTTGTATTTATGGCAGTTGATTGAAACTCATCTGTGGTACTGTAAAATTTTGCTGCCATGGCGGATCGGAGGTTGCTCTACGGGGGTGGTGGTTCCAATATGAGTAGTGTTTTCTTTCAAAATCAAAGGGGTCCTTCTTCTTCTTCTTCTTCTTCTTCTGAGCCGCGTGATTCTCTTTTCATTCCTGGGTCTTCCTCTTCTTTTCTTGGTAACTCTCTCTTACTTAATTTCGTTGAGTTATTTGTGATTTCGTATATATATTCACAAGCCAACATAAAACGATAGATTATGTGAATACCCTTTATATATGGATACATATATGTGTATGAATTTTTATATTTCTCTGCAAAATTTTTGTAGTTATGTAATTGTGTGAATTTGCATATATAATTGTGGAATTTGATGGCTAGTTCTTCATCTGGATTTGATGGAAAGACATATTTCGATTTTCTGTTCTTTGATGTTAGTGATGGGTGTTTGACTTTCTACTTTGGATCTATTTGTCTCAGCAGTTAGCTAAGAGGTTCTGTATCTGAATTTTCATTGGGTATGTGGAAATTTTGCTTGCAGAAAATTATATCTGTAATATCTACAACAATACGTCTTCTTCCTTGCACTGCTAGATGTTCTTTTCAATTTATTTATTTATTTTGGTGGGTGTGTTGCTCAAGGTTTATTTGTTAGTTTTGTGATGTGAAGTTGAATAGTTTTCCTTGTGATGCCTGATGAAAGCACTCCACTATGTAAAACTCAAGATATTGGTTTGTAATTTGCATTCTGGTGGTTGATCTGGTTTGTTTATACTCAAATTAAGCGGTCAGTGGCTCAAATGCTCTTGTCCAATTTCACTGATTATTTAGTGCTTGTGCCTACTTGTTTCTCTGTTTCTAGGATGAGAAGGTTATTGACTTCCGAGTTTAGGTAATTGATTGCTAGATGTCCTTATAGTTTCTGCATCTTCTCTTGTTCAGGTCCAAGATCTATGGTTAGTTTTGAGGATGTGAATGGAAGAAACAGATCAAAGAGGTCCTTCTTTTGCTCGTTTGAGCAAGAAGAGAACGGAGAGGAGGACTTGGATGAGTACTTTCATCATCCTGAAAAGAAGAGGCGGCTTACAACAGACCAAGTCCGATTTCTTGAGAAGAGTTTTGAGGTGGAGAATAAGCTTGAACCAGAAAGGAAAATTCAGCTTGCAAAGGACCTTGGTTTACAGCCTCGGCAGATTGCAATATGGTTTCAAAATCGCCGGGCACGATGGAAGACCAAGCATCTAGAGAAGGAGAATGAGTCATTGCAAGCTAGCTATAGCAGCCTCAGGGCTGACTACGACAGCCTCGTCAAGGAAAAGGAGAAACTAAAAGCTGAGGTAATGACCCCAATCACCCCATAGTTTGATAATATTGGTTTTCTTCTGAATTGTTGTTTAATATTTGGAATAATGCTTATGTACTGGTGTTTAATTTTTCCTCAGGTTCTTCACCTCACAGAAATGCTGCTGCTCAAAGAGAAAGAGAAAGCAAACTTGGAACTGTCTGATACCACAAAGCTATCAGAAGCATACCCAAAAGAACCCATTGGCGATTTGATTTCTGAGGATGAAGTATCCAAAGTCTCGGTAGTGGCTTGCAAGCAGGAAGATAGCTCGGCCAAAAGTGATGTTTTTGATTCAGACAGCCCACACTACACTGATGGGGTTCACTCCTCTGTCTTAGAGCCCTGCGATTCATCATACATTTTTGAACCTGACCAATCAGATATATCTCAAGAGGAAGAAGATAAATTGAACAATAGCTTATTGCCTCCTCCAGCATATGAATTTCTGAAGATCGATGGAGCTCATTACTTTGACCCATCCTCAAATTCTTGTGACTTTGGATTCCCAGTTGAAGACCAGGCCTTCAACAATTTCTGGACTTACTGACTCATCAGTGAGGTATATAGCACTTTCATGCCTTTCTTCTCTGTGATGTTTTAAGCATGATACCGCGGTAACTATATATATAAGAAATAAATCCAATCTTAGCACCCCAATCCACATTTGGTTTAGTTGCAGTTGGAATTTGGAAATGTCTTCTTTTTTTTTTGCCCCTTTTGTAATCTTGTCTTCAATGGGGCTTTTCTTGTTTAAGTGAACTTGTTTTGTATGGGATGTATAAAGCTTATGGCATATTCAATCATGGGTTCTTATATTCGGATTGGGAAAGTGGATTGACATATGCTCTGAATTATTCCAATAACATGTTAAAGGTGACTGAAAGAACTGGTATTAGCTGGACTAGAACATTGGCATGCTAATCTATCTGCTTTTGCATTATGTAAGAATCAAAATCTGCTTTTTAGGTAGAGATAAACTACATTCTAGTAACAGTTTGAAGCAGAAGCTAGAGAAATCGATGCTCAATTTCACAAAGCCTTAATTCCCCGCCTATCGGGATTTTTTTACAGGAATAATATAAGCTGTATAATTCCATCCATTATCTTTAGTTGTTCCAATGTGAAAAGAGTATAATATCCCAAGTAAGATCATCCACTATATGCCCTTTTACACCACTTTGTGACTACTTTCTTGCTCTGTGAACCATTGCTCATTGTTGGAACTCTTGAAGGAAACTTGGAGATTCATTGAAGTGAATTTTGGAGGATGTTTTCTCTTTTGACTGCACTTCTTCTGAATCTGTGAATATAAGTAATTTGACTCAAATTTATAAAGAATCTTTGTAGCAGGAAGCATGGGCGGAGGGAGGTAGGGGCCAGGGTGGGCACATCCCCCCCCCCCCAAATTTTTTTTTTTTTTTTTATTAGTTAGATATATGTGTTATATATTTATACATATATATTATGTGTGCCCCCCTCATTTAAATTAGGCCTCATTATTTACTCAAAATAATTAAACAATTAAGTCCATTTAAAACAAAAAAATTGAACTCACTATTATCTATTCGAATTTATTAAAAAATTAAATATTTGACCTATTACAATCCACTTAAACCTATTAAAAAACAAAACTTTTAGCCTAATATTAAAACAAAATTTTTGGCCTACAATTATTAAAAAATAAAACTTTTGACTCACTTGACTAAAACCTATCTTATCTTATCTTTTTTTTTTTTTTTTTCTCTCTGTATCACTCATTTCCATTGTCCAACCACAAGAAAAAGAGAAGAAATAGAGAAAAGTTCAACACACAGAGAAGTTTGAGTTTTTTTGTCCTTCCTTGCACTAACCTATAAAATTATTTTATACATTATATTTATCCCCTAAATTTTTGGAAATTTTAATAATGGTTCTACTCTTTTTTTTTAATAAATTAGTGGACCACTAACTTTTTAAAATAAATATGTTAATTTTGGATTGAGTCAATGTTTTATTTGTATATTGACGAAAACACAATATTTATCTTTATCTAATACAATGTTCGTTACTTTTTAAAAATAATTTTTAGTTTTTATTTACCATTTTTTTTAGTAATAGTAGTCTATAACCTAGTAAAATAAGAAAATTAATTTACATTTAATTCATATACAAAAAAATTTAGAGATTTTAAAACATTTATATTTTATTGAAATATATAATTAAGCTAAAATGTACTAAAAAAATTATTTTGTGTCTTTTTGTTAAGATTTTGTTTCGGCTAAATAAAAATTGAGTTTACTATTTCACAATAATTTAGTGTTGATTATTATTATTATTATTTTTTTATTCTTGAACTGAATTTTTTTGTATTAATTTTGGCTTAATATTTTTTTATACCAGTTATATTTTACTTATATCATTGATATTCATGGCTCCGCCCTTGACAATATACATTTTTTTTTTGGAAATGTTTATGTTAAATGGACTTTATATATCAAAAATAATATAATAAATATAAATATATTATAGAGTGTGATTGGTTAGAAGGAAAAAAAATTAAAGTGTCCACCCTGAATAAAATTTTTGACTTCGCCCTTAACAGGAAGGATTGGTAAACAATATATATATCGGAGGCTGAATCTTGATATACTCTAAAAAATTATATTTTTATTACTTCGATATATATTGGCATTGATGGAATGAAATTTGCAGTGGGTACTTGCTATATGAATTTTTAAAAAAATAAAGGTATTCGTTCCTTAACACGAATCTTTTAAGAATTGCCCATAAAACTCATGCAATGGCTTGTTAGTTGATGAGTAACTTTTTCTTTCTTTCTTTTTCATTGCAGCATATATAATTTGAACCAATTGACTACCTACACACTAGAAATTTAGAAATAGTTTCATGATACATTTCATTTCTGACAAAATAATAAAAAATAGTAAACAATAAACATATTTATATTCATATCCAAAATCAAATTACAAACATAAAAAACAGCTAAAAAATTTAAGCATTGGTTTGTAGTTGGGGGTTTGAGGTAGTGGATAATAGTGGTGGTGGTAAGAGACGGTGATGGTTGTAGTGGGTGACAATGACCGTGGTGGCTGCGAGGGCAACGACGATGGTGGTGGTGGCGGCGACGACGATGACAATGACGGTGGTGGCGACGGCGGTTGTAGAGGTAGTGGTGGGGCGATTTCAAACACAATTTTTTTAAAAAAAATATTTATAAGTAATAATTTCTAAAAATATTTTTAAAAAGTTACTCCAAACACCTAAAATGACCTATTTTTTCTATTAAATTTAGGGTGCTAAAAATATATACTAGTTTTTTTCTGTGCCTGAAGGCACAGAGTACTAAAAAATGGTAAATAATAAATATATTTGTATTAATATCCAAAATTAAATCACAAACATAAATGAGAGATAAATAAATTTAAGTATCGGTTGTAGTGAGGGTAAGAGGTGGTGGGTGGCAGTAATGGTGGTAGGAGACGATGTTGGTTGTGGTGAGTGGCAATGATCGTGGTGGCGATGGTGGAGGTGGTGGTGGTGACAGCGACGACGATGGTGGTGGTGGCGGCGGTGACGACGGCAGCTGTGGTGACGACAGTTGTGGCGGTGGTGGTAGAGATAATGGTAGTAGGGGTGGTGGTGGTAGAAGTATTGGTGAGATAATTTCAAACACTATTTTTTTTAAAAGTATTTATAAGAAATAATTTTTAAAAATATTTTTAAAAAGTCACTTCAAACACACTCTTAGGGGTCTTTTTTCCTATTAAATTTAAGGTAATAATATTAACCGTTAGATTAACTTTAAAATAAAATTTAAAGCGATCTAAACCGCAAAAAATAAAAGTTATTTTGTTTATCTTTTGTAAATAACTTTATTATATAAATATATATAGTGAAAACCCACTTCAATACAAATTTTCTCTAATTTTATTCTCGCGAAATCATATATCATTGATTCAAATGAGATTTATTGTATATAATTGAGTCTCTCACTTATACATGGTAGATAGAGACGGAGCCAAATGTCGATCTTTAGGGGGGCCAATTAATAGTATAACAAGAAAATTTTTATTTAGTGTGTAAGTTATTCAATGAGTTATCATTTAATATCAAAATTTTAAAGGCATAGAACCTACAAAGTTCACTTTTGCTGACATAATGTAACATTATCGATTTCAATAAGAGGGACAAAATTAATTCAAATATTTTGAATTAATTAAATGTCAAAAATCACATCAATTCATCGAATAATCAAAAAATATGAATATACGAAAAAGAAGACAAAAAAAGGAAAAAAAAAAAAAAGAAGAAGAAAGGAAACCCACAAAAAAAGAGATCAAACTATATGTTGTTCAGTCTCATTTCTCCATACTTTTCTAGTAAAAAGGAGGAGTGGAAGAACCATAAAATGACTGGCCAAAGTCGCTCTGTTGGGGCAATAAGGTGTTGAAGGTTGATGCAGCTTCTTGGAGTTCTTCATGAGCCTGGGCAGTGAAGAAGACGATCTCTGCTTGGGTTTTGGCTAATTGGCTTTGTGCATTGTGTATTTGTTGATGCAACTGAGTAATGATTCGAACACAACCATAGACAGGGTCTTGAATTCGACATTGCGCCTCGTAGTGCAAAGTGTCCGCTGCTTCAGCTCGTAGATGAACATGTAGTTGCTGGTTTGCCACAAAAAAAAACCACTGGGATAAGTCTATGGTTTCGTTAATACCATGTATGCATAAGTCTAAGGGATAAAGTTTTTTATATTGAGCAAGTCTTATGATTGCAACACAAACAATACAAATTTCTTATGCATGCAAACCTCGCGTATCATTCAAATCTCGGTTTTTTGTTTCAATGAATACCAAAAAAATCAAGATAGCTCAGCCTTTATTCGACAATTGAACCAACCCGTGTATTTTTAAGGCATCTTTGAAGAATATTTCATCATCTTACCTGGAGCATCTTTCCAATATTGCTAGCACCATAGATTCTATGAACACTAGCAAATCTTTGAGGATTATTTGCAGGAAAATATGGAGAGAAAATGCAATCAGAAGGACATTTTCTTCTCAAATATTTGCAAGCAGCACAACGAGTGCAAGCCATTTTAGTGAGGATCCTTAGAAAATCTTGTGAAGATCCACCAAAAAGATTTTCTGAATCTTTGTTCTTTGGAGAAGAAAATCTAATGAAGATATTAGTTGCTTTAATTGCTTAATTAAGACTAATGGGGGAGTATTTGTATTAACTATTAAGAGAGATTTTCTAACGGCCATTTTTTTTAAAAAAAAATTTTGTTTTGCAAGGAAAGTTACCGGTAGTAGTGAGAGCTTTCCAATTAGGAGAGACCTAAACTTGGTAAGAATAGGTGTCTTAGCTTCATAATTTGGAAGTTCTTTTTTTTTTTTTTGTTTAAATCTCTTGTCTAATAAAACTATGGCATCTTTGACTTTTTTTCCCACTTCCCTAAATATGTGTGAAATAGAGAAATATCAATGTATTTAAATGAGATTATATTTGCTAAAGAAATATACCGTTATGGACAAGTTTATAACGTCTTTTTACCAAAACAAATTAATTAATTTAGATGGAAGGAATTGAATGAAACTCCATTAAAATTTTAAAGATGTAATTGTATCAGTTGAAATTTTAGAAATTAAATAAAAATTATGTGCCTACTTTAAGAATATAATTTCTAAATCATCCTTACACTTTTTCTTTTTTTTTCGCATCCCTCGCCCCCAATTGGGATCCATCGGTTCTATATTTTTCTTTAGATCATAAAGTTTTTCAATGATGGTACTCGTACTTTCATTTTGATATGGAAGTGAACAATTGAAATAGTTCAAGTGGTAACAAGAATGAATTGTAAATTTGAATATCTTGATTTTGAATCTTGACAATTTCTTGAAGTTAAGCCATGAGTAATTTATCCTTTGTGAATACCCTTATTCCGAGATGGAGAGGGGATTAGTCAAAGTAAGTATAAGTTGGCTCAGACACAAAAAAAAGAAAATAAAGAACAATTGGACAGTCTCTACATTTTCCTCATTAGATTGAACTACTTTTTTTATTAATGGTAAATAGGATTTATTAGTAGTGAGAGATAACGATCATAGTTTCTTGATCTCAGGATTGAAAATTTAAAGAAGAAATGATTTTTTCACTATTGTATCCATTATCAAGAGAAGTACTTAACTGCAATGGAAATGCCTTTTTATTCCTCCACTCAATTTAACAAAATTTTTTACCAATAATTTTGATATGTACTATATAAATTTTATTCTGTTATTGTGCCATATTGAGGATCATATACGTCCTGTTGTTCCTGATGATGGAAAGTGAAAACGAACTCGCACCCATTTTAATAATTAAAAAAAAACCACTCAAATATTTACCAAATACCAAAATTGTTCTGATATTGAATAATTTAGTTGTGTGAAATTGCATGAATAATCAGTGGATATACCAGTGAAAATTAGTGAGTGGTTTTTTTTTTTAGTTATAGAGTGTCTAGACTTGTACCGACTACTTCTTTGAGTTCAACAATTACGACCTTGTCTTGAGCAGATCTGGAACATGTCCCTTTGAGAACAAGAGTGGCCAACTCCTAATAGATGTCGGTGGTCCCCTAAGGAGTTTTAGTGGGTGTTTGTTTCACTGGGGGTTCGTTTGGTTAGGAAGAAAAAAATAATAAAAAGTGAAAATAATAGAAAGTGAAGTGAAATAAAAAAAAATGATAAAAAATATATTTTCATGCATGTATTTGATTAGAATAAAAAGTTTACGGAAAAATTTTAAAATAATTTTATTCTTTTGTTTGAAAGAAAGTAAAGTTATAAATTTTTTTTTATAATTGTCTAAATTACCCTTAATTATTTTTAATCGGTCTAAAAATGAAAAAAATATATATCATTATAATTGAAAATTAAAAAAATTTAGAAAAAGTGACCCGAAACCTTATTCTAAGACAATCATCAACATAAAAGTCTTTTGGACAAATTATGTGATTAATTAAATTTACACCAAATTTTTTTGAAATTAATAACCAATAAAATATTTTTTAAAAAATAAGGATAAAATAAAAAGTTAGTTATATAGCTCACAACTTTCTTGCAACCTAGAGAAAGGGAGATTATTGGGTTGAACTGGCTAAAAATAATCTGGGGCCCCACATTTCTCTAATCTGGTCGGCAAAAAGACAATGCCATCAAAGTAGTCATTGAAATATTCGACCCGATTTAAAAAGTCCACTTAACTCTTCTAATCTGGATATTTTAAACCCAAGGGTGAGGAGGGATAAATAACAAAACTAGTGCATCTTCTCATGACTATCAATCACTCTCCCATGATCTTTTATCTCTCTGCACTTAAAAAGCATCAATGCTTTAATCTTTCCACAACACTACATGAATCCATGGGGCTTGAAGGTGGATATGTAAGATTTGACAATACCAGACATGTCCAGCAGCGTGCGCAATCTGTATCTACATTGGTAGTCTCCATCGTACCTCAGTAGCTGCTTGCTTAGAGTACAGTAAAGTCTGAATAACTCTTCGCATTTTGAGAAAAAAGCATTGGTCCCGTATCAAAATTTGAACTTGCTCTTCAAGTATAACACCATCTCTTGCTGTGAAGTTTGGAGAAGAAAAGACAATAGTGATTAGTGAGTAATCTTAAAGTCAATAATTTGTGAAAGTTCGTTTCTGGAAGCTACTTGAAGGAAGAATGACTTCTATGAGCCAACAGATGATGCATTCTATCCAAGGAAAACATGGTGTAGCACATATGAGTTCTTGACCAATCTAACAGAGCATATGAGGGCTACGACAAAGGGAAGAAACTTACAATTACACACAGCAGAATGCAAGCAGTAGCCCCAGGGAACAAAGTATACCATAAATTCAAGTGATGCAGCTTAGCTCCATCGACAAACAGTAATGGCAAACTTGCAGCTGCATATTGATGTATGCAGTTTGCATATTAGTACAAAAATATAGAGTGCATAGTCTAGAAAAGAGTATTAATTATGGTATATTAAGTGTAGATGAGAAAGCTGTTATTTGGTGGTTGCCTGGTGGATGTATCGAACGTGTGCAAATCATGAAAGCAATGGCTGCAGCAAGGCCAGTGCTCCTAGCTAGCCAACCCGGCCCCAATACAGAGAATGATAAAACACCAATTGCCGCACAACCTATTTGAGCCATAAACATATTGTATTTCTGCAAAAAATGCAGTAAGGGTAGTTAGAATTTACATATTTGGAATGTCATTAGTTCAGAAATATCATTCAGTTTGCTGGCAACGGTTATTTCTAAAAGGAAATCGATCATGCATAAAGAGAGTTCATCTGCTTCCTCCCATCATGCTATGAAAACTTGCAGGTAAGTTGTATAGAAGTTCATATGTTTCAGTGGACCATGCATCTCTCTCGCTTTAAACCAATTCTTCAAAAATCTTAGAAGATATGGAATGCTTAAGTGCCCATTAAAGTGCAAATTTTTGCATGGACTATAGCTCATGGTAGGATTGATACTATATGTTTGAAAAGAGAAGACCTTTATGTCATGTGTTGGTGTGATTTTGAAAATGTGGATCACTATTTTTAGATTGTCGTTGTGGAACACATTGTTTAACTTGGAAGGTTTGAGTTGGGTTATGTTGTGATCGTGCAGCAATTATGGTGAATAATAAGGAATCAAACAATTAAAAAAGCAGGAGAAAATAACACACAAAATTTTACGTGGTTCGGCAATGTGCCTACATCCACGAGAGCGAGCGGCTGTTCTTTTTCATTATTCAAAGTAGGGTTACATCTTAAGTATTTATATAACCTTAATACGGACGTATTTACAAAAATATCCCTGTACCGTACCGCGGGGTGTTGCCCCCGCACCCCCAATCAATTAGCGTCCCCTTTATACAAATCTCACAAGGCAGATGCCGTCACGGGCTCCACTCCGACATCTGCCTCCTTGCTATTATGCACACAGTAAATATGAGCCACACATACTCTAACAGGTTATCTTCTCGTTATGGATTTTAGTCGATTTGGACGGGGTTGCTCTTTGGAATTGTGTTATCCTTGCCACAATTTGGACTATTTGGTTAGAATGATATGTGAGGATCTTCAAATGTGAAATAGTGGATGAACTGTGGAAGATGATTGTTGTCATACGAACACATTTTGATACAGTTTACAGGTAAACACAATGCAAGTTAAATGCAACATTAGCACCTAGTGATCAGCCTCGCAGCTGGATTGTACAATGGATAAGAGTAAGAATTTGAGCATACCCGAGCAGCAGGGGAGGAGGGAGTGCCAAAGAGGACAGCACAAACAGCTCCCAAGGGTGCAATTGTCATTGAAAGTCCTTTTGGCGCCAACATTTGGTCCATCTTTCCAAGTACAGCCATTGCTGCAAATGCCCCTGCATTTCAATCGTGATTATAAGAAACGAACTTGTCTATGGTGTTTTTTACCACATTGGTGACACTGAAAAAAAATGGTAAATATAGTTATCACAATAGTGATAAAAAAAACCCATAAATGTGATAAATTACCCATTAAAGTACTAAATTTTTTATACTAAAAAAAAGTGACAAGAACAATTATTACAATAGTGATAAAAATATTCACAACAGTTATAAAAATATTCATAAATATGATAATTTTTTTAATTAGAAAATAACCTATAAAAACACCCATAAAAATAATAAAATAATTCGCAAGGATTCACCATTAGGGGTCTACGGAGGGGTAAGAAGGTATTTCAATGACTCGAATCCAAGATTTAATAACCATACATTGCTACGAATGGCAACCAAGTGTGTCTGCTTTTATGTACCTCTAATTCAACCCATTTATCTAATCATGTCACATATCTTAGTCTAAGCTGTTTATCGTTTACTATAACACGTAAACCAAGAATCTAAGACCAGAATACCCTTTTCTTTGGACTAAACCCACCAGCTAAAGGTCTCCATAACCTAAAAACACAACCAGTCCATATTTAGTAAAGTAAGATTAATAGTTAAAATACATTTAATTATATAAGGACTTGTACGATACCCGTAAAATCAGAAAACCTCAAATGTTTTTTTGGGGTCTTTTTGCCTAACCTGCGGATGGCCAAAGGACGTCGCTGAGGGAAGGAGATTTAGAACCCTTCTCTGGTTGCCAATCATCCCACAATGGTGCAGCTATGTTGTTGCTTGATGATGCTTCAATTCTTCTATCAGCATGACTCAAACCAAAAGCTTTTCCTTGCTTATGTTGGTTCTTGGTTCCATTACTCCGATGGAATGGATATAGCACCAAATCCTTATCAGTGTGAGATAATTTATGCAATTTTGGAGGTATCAGAAGTTGATTTTGTTGATGATTTGCAAAGAGCTGCATACCCATTTCTAAGAACTTCCAATGATCCTATCTGTCTTATTTTCTGGCTGACTGTTGCGCAGAGAGAAAAATACCCATTTCTTAGAACTTCCAATGCTCCTATCTGTCGTTTTCTGTCTAAAATGTTCAACTGTTGTGGAGAGAGAGAGAGAGAGAGAGAGGAGGAGGACCGTTATTGAGGAAGTTGAAAGCCGGATTGGGGTTGTGCGGAGGTGGGCTCTTGGAGGATCGAAAGGGCATTGGATAAAGGGCCAATGTAATCACCTACCCCAGACCTCCCCACACTACGCCCTTTCTTTAGTGAGAACGGCCACTCTGTTTTTTCTTATTTGGTGTTAACCAACATTCACATCAATGTATTTGGGGACTTTGTGGAATATAGTTCAAAGTACCACTAGATTGAAAATTTAATTTTGACTTTTTAAACTTGATTTGTAATTAGTCCGTATATTAAATTCATAATTATGAGTTTTGTTAAACATAAGGAGGTGAGTTTAAGAAGGTGAGTTGAGGGTTAAGGATGTAAAATACAATTATATCCCTTAATATGATTATGAATTGCATTGATCAAGGGTAAAATTATCATTTATAGGACAAATAGTTGTTAATAATTTTGATATATCTAAGGGTTCTACATGTATATGTATTGCATATCAAACATAAGTATGAATCGGATTTAATATTGAATCTCATCTTTATAAAAATGAGTTTGAGTTTGGAGAAGCCAATTCAAACTCTCCCAAAAAATTTAATCCAAATAAGCCTTTGGTGACAATCAGTGCACGAGACTATCATTATTACAGGATCTGAAGATAATTAAATAGACATAAAATAAATAAGAGAAGCCATTATAATCAGAAATAATCACAAAGGATAGTTCAAATGATAATAAAAGTGAATTGTAAATTAAGACGTTTTAAGTTCAAATTTTGGTAACCTTTTAGGGCTAGGCCATTAGGGATTCATGGATACCATAGTCCCGGCATGAATGACTTGCCTTTGACCGAATTGAGAAGAAAATTAGTAAAAATATGTGTAAATTGATCTAAAAACTCTTGACCATTAAACTAAAAATAACACTTATTAACACATAACTAGATACTACTCCCTGAAGTCTCTCACCCCCCTCTCTCCTCTCCCATACTTTCATGTGTGATAACAACCCCGTGTGATATATTAAATTTATAACCTTCCTAAATTCTTCTAAATCTTTTTTTCCCATCAATTGGAATATTGATAACAATTATAGCACCAATGGGCCTTTGGTCTAATGCTATTTCTTACCTTATAAAGGTTTTACCTTCTTGACATCAAGGGTTCAAGTCCCTCCTCCCCTTCCAAAAAAAAAAAAAAAGATAACAATTACAATAAATTATGGTGATATATATACTTTTTTTAAAAAAAAATTAGCTAAATAAGCAGTAGTTAATGAATAATTTTGAACAAAACCTATGTAATTTTGAGATAAGTAAGAATTAAAAACAATAGGGAGAGAATAGTACTCAAACCTTTTCTTAGGGGTAAGAGTGTCAAACGTGTTGGGTTAAACATGTGACAGGTGAAAAACATGTATACGACACGTTTAATAAACGGGTGAAAAATCTTAACACGAACACGACCTCTTTAATAAAGAAAAATCTTAACACGAATACGACCTCTTTAATAAACAGGTAACACAACACGACTTATTTAACCTATTTAATTTTTAAAAAAATTTATCAATAAATTTTAATATTCCACTATTTTTATTATCAACTGTATTTACCTCAAAAAAGAGGAATTTTTAATCAAATCTCACATAAAAATCAGACTTATGGGCTAAAAAAATAAGGCAAGAAATCATTGTCTTTTATAGGTAAGTCAGTTCTCCCTATCTCCCCTCATTTGTAGATATGGGACAAAAACAAAAAGGCAGTGGTATGCCTTTGTCAACTATTCCCCATCTCCCCATCTCATCTTGTCGATTCCACAATCTTCATCGCGATACAACAACCCCTTCTTCTAATTCTTTCTCTTGTCTCACTTCTATCAAACATACCCAATTCTCATTCCAACATTCGATCATGTATTTTCTGATACCCACATTGATCTTTGATCTGTATGTCCCCAGAGGTCCTTTTCTATGACACCAAAAAGAACCTCAACCATAAGAAAATTGAAACCCCATCATTCTCAATGGCCCAATCGATTCCTTCGGATTTTCCAAAATCCCAAGAACTCTAGCTCTTCCATTTCAACGATGGAGACCCCCGTTGAGCTCTCGATCATTCTCACTGGCCAGTGTTATTGGTGGGGGTGGTAAGCTCTTGATTCTTTGGCAAGAATTCAAATGGTTTGTTCCCACATCGAGCACTACAAAGGGGTAAGTCCGTAAGTGAGTAATCTGTACTTAATGGCCATTGACCCTCGTCCACTCAGCCTTTTTGTTCTTGTATGTTCATTGTCAACTTGTATGCTCAGTGTTAAGTTTCAAATGCCTTTTCACTGTTTTTTTTTTTTTTGAATTAAGATTTTTTGTACTCATTTATCATATATTTGTATATAATATTTTAATTCTAACTAATTTTTTTAAAGTAATTATTTATTTATTATTATATTATTTTTTTTAAAATAGGTGATAAACGGGTTGACAAGTCTTATCCAAACATGACCAGTTTATTAAATGTGTCCAACGGGTTAACCCGTTTATCACCCAAACACGTTAAGGTATCACTCAAATCTGCTTAATTAGTGTCGATTCGTATCGGTTAATCGTGTCGTGTCGAATTTTGACAAGCCTCTTAGGGGTGTCCATGGTCCCAGTTACTCTCGGGTCTAGTTATTCAGCCTAAAAAAATAGGCCCGATAGTTGGTCTATCCGAGCCCAATATCTTTAAAAAGAGAGTTTGAGTTTGCTCCCAAACCAATTACCCCGCCCAAGAGCTCGCCCGCCCACCATTCATTTGAAAAAAAATTATACTTTTAGACTATTAAATTTGAAACTTTAAAATAAGTTTACCAAATTTGAAGTTTTAAAAATTTAGAAATTATAAATAATGTATTATTTTTTTTTCTATGTATTAAGCATATAAGTTTTACAAAATAGAATAACACAAATGATATATAAGTGAGTAGGTATAAATCTAATTAGGATGTCTTTCATTCTATTGGATGTAGTTCATTCTTTAATTTATATTTATCTATTTTGACTCTTCTTTTGATTCAAAATATAATATACACAAATATTAAATTACAAAAATATACATTATTTTTAAATAAAATTGTATATGAAAAAGCTTGCAAGTAGGCTCGCCCAGCAAACCTGCTCAATAGGCTCGCGAGTGGGGCTACGGGTAGCCTACCTCTACTTAAAGTCCGGCCTGGCCTACTCGATAACTCACTTGGAAAAGGGCTTACGCCTACACTGAAGGGGTCAAACGTATCGGGTTGGGTCATTTCGTGTCAGGTTGATTTCTAGTTTGTGTCAAAAATCTCAAAACCCAAACTTGACATGTTTAATAATTGCGTCGAGATATGAAAACACTAACTTCACCTGATCATTAAACAGGTTACCCGAACCCGATCTGTTTGACACGTTTAATATACATGTCATTTTTAGGTTAATACACATAATATGATCCGTTTAATTTATTTAGCACACATAATATAGACTTGTTTAACACACATAACAAGTTTCTACACCAGTTTATTACAATTAAATACATCGTTCAATTATTCATCCAAAATTTTAAATAATTTTTTTTACAAATAACATATCACATCTCATCAATAAAATTAATTAAAATGCATTTAAGTTTCAACCCAAAAATTAAAACAATAACTATATTAGTATACTGTTATAATAATGTTAAGAACTATATTGTTAACTATTATAGTAGAAGCAACAACTAATAAATAATAAGACCACATCAGTCATATATTATGGATAAATTATACTGTCATAAACAGGTCTACAATAGTTTAGGTCGGATTTGTATCCGAATTATATCAACTTGTTTAAAATATACGGGTTAATTAAATCAAAATTGGGTTGACCTGATTTTTTACAAGAAATCGATATGATTTTTTTTTCGTGTTTAAGCGTGTTGACTTGTTTTAATCCATTAACTATATTAATTTCGTATTTAGTTCGTGCCGAGTTAATGTGTCGCACCAAAAATTGCCACGCCTGCTTATACTACTCAAGTACGGCCCGTAAAAATTTTGTGGGCTAGCTCTGTCCGGCCCGCGGACTCCCCTACCTTTCTCTTCTAAATGGATTATAATAAGGGTAAATATTTTAAAAGTTTTCTGAACTAAGGAATTTATTTTAAATTACCCCTGAACTTTCAATTATTTAAAATTTTCTTCCAATTTTTTTTTTTTCCAATCCTCCCCTCCGTTGGTTAAGATTAATTGATAACTAAGACAAATTCTATTAAAATTAATCGGTAAATGAGACAGATTTTATTAGGATTAATTGTTAATTTAACTCATTTAATAATTAATTTTAATAAAAGAGATGAATTATAATAAATAAAAAAATTTATATAATAAATTAGCAGAATTGAAAGTGGACCAACATTTAATATAAGCATGACAAAACATTATCAGTAAATTTATTCAAAGACAGTTACCATCTCACCCCTCGCTGGATTAACCTGGAGAGTCGGAGACACTAATTTATTAAGCCTTAAATCCCCCGTCCACCACCAAGTTATGGCCGGTGATGAACTCTGAGTCCTTAGAAGCAAGAAACAACACAGCATCACCCACATGTTTTACCTTCAACACTCCACCCTTCAACACATTGGCCGACTCCAAAGTTTTCTCCACCTCCTCCGCACTCATCTGATACTCCTTACAAGTCAGCGGCGTTTCCACCGCCGCCGGTGACACAGAATTCACTCTCATCCCATACACGCCCAACCCTACACTCGCCGACCTCATCAACCCAAGCACGGCATGCTTAGACATCACGTAGTCGATGTTCACGTCCCCCCGATCGCTGCCGCCACACTCGCCGTGCACACTATGCTCCCTCTAACACCACCCTCCACCATCGCACGCGCAGCCTGCTTCACACACGCCGCCATGCCTCGTACGTTTATTGCGAAAAGTTGGTCAGAGGCGTCGAGGTTGAAGTCTAGGATGTCTTGCTGGCAAGAACTGAGAACTCCGGCGTTGCTGAACATGATGTCTAGCCGGCCGTGAATCTGTACCGTTGATTCCACCAAGGATTTGACTTGGTGTTCGTCGGTGACATCGTACTTAACGAAGGTACAGAGGTGAGAACCGATTGATTAAGCCACTTGTTGACCCTTTTCTTCTTGGATGTCGGCTATCACCACCGCACGTACGCCGCTTACGGCGAATAGGCGAGCTGTTTCCTCCCCTATGCCGCTTGCACCGCCGGTGATGATCGCCACTTTATCCTCCAACTTATTCTTGGGTGCATCGTGGTTGCTCATTTTTCTTCGACCTTTCACCTTTTGTGGGTAACATGAGGCGTCCAATTATACATATAGATATACATATATTAGGGTTAACCGTTATCAAAAGCATGATGTAGTGTTAATAATTTTAAGAAGAATATTGATGGTTGTTAAATAAATTAATTTAATATTATTGAATTGTCTTATTAAAGTCTGTTCTGTTTTATATTATAACTATAAAATTGAATTTTCCACCTAATTCCTAAAGATGCTTGCTGCCTTTATTGTCTATATGTTTGTGTCCACTGCTTATTTTATATTTAAATTACCAAGATAAAGAAACAAAAATTTCTATTCACACTTAACTTATTATCAACTGTATATAGTTTTCTATTCAAAAAAAAAAAAACTGTATATAGTTGGATTAGAGTTTCTTAGAATATTGATGTCTGTGTATAAGTTGTGATTAGCAAGTTCGTTTTGTAATTAACAATGTCCGCTAACAAGTCTAATGGTCTATATCGGCTTATAAGTTACATCAATTTATCACTCAAACACGAGTTTAAAGTTTTGGGTTTCTAAGCTAAATTTCAAATACCCTAACTTTTCATTAATTTTTTGGTGCTTATTTCAGGAATCGTGTCTAAAATCTGTGACATACACCAACTTGCACTGATATTTATATTATTCTGCTGTGAGGCCAAATCCCCCATATATTCACATTGGTATTGTGATTTGAGGCAATCAATAATCTTACCACACTATGAGACAGTTGACATTAATTAAAAATTACTCCACTCACTGCATGGACTTCGTCTAATTAGCGTGAGGAGCCTGCAACTTGCAACAGCTTCTTTGTTTACTCCTATAGTTTGGATACATTTAGCTTTCACGATTTGTCATTTTTTGCTCATTTTAATATAGTATTTGGCTTTGATAATTGCTTACCTTGTTTCAATTTTGTTGGTTTAACACTATATTAATGATTCTATTGCCATAGTTTTTTTTTAGGTTAACGGTCAAGAGTGTTCGGATCAACTTATGCTTATTTCGATTAATTTTTTCATCGATTTGGTCAAAGAAAAAATATCCACGTCGGAATTAAGGTATTAATGAAAGATTTATCCTAATGATAATGAATTGTTAAGATTCAAATTTAAGATATTTGAATTCATAACTCGTCTATGCTACCATTTAAACTAATCATTGAAAATTTTCCATCGTTATTATCAAACAAACCTCCATGACACACAATAATTTAAATCTGGAATCTGAACTACTCCTTTGCATTGAACTTTTTTGATGCTTGTTAGTGACAACTAACATAAGAGAATATGTTGCACGGCCTGCCCCGCCGTCTCATGACGGCCTTTGCCGGCAGTATCGCACACCATTTGGCTTTGCTAAAACCGCTCTGATTGGCACCATTGTTTCTCTCTTTTTTTTTTTTAATTCCTTTATTTTCTTGGCTCGGCACTCGCTTAGTCGTTTATGTTTGCAATTTTACCGTTTAATTCTTTTTCTAAGGTGAAGATCAAGAATCACACCAATTCGATTTTTGCCTTCATCAAATATTCATCAAATCCACTACCAAATTAAATATTGAAAATCAAGCTAATCTGAGCCTCATCATCAACAAATTCATCGAAAATCAAAAGACAGCACACATGAGAAGTACACTAAAGAGAGTCAACACCACTTTTCTATTCAAATTAATAATTGTAATTTGATATTATTTTTGTGTTATTTTACACGCGAAATTCATCATTGCACCTACATACTTGCTTTGATTTCGATGGTTTTTGAAACTTCTGTTTTCATTTAATTGGCACAATAATTAGGGTTTGTATAATCTCTATCCATATATTTCTTTTCCTAATAGTGGATAATAGAGTTTTGATCATCTCAATTTAATGGCTTATGTTGAGACGATTCAAAACAAGTTAGCTCTTATGTGTGTTATTTTTTATGTGGGGGCATTCATTTTTATGGCATATCGATAAGATTTGTTGCATTAAATTGGATCCCTATATTTGTAATGAATTACATTTTAAATGTGCTAAGTTTTTCAGTTTGATTGGACTTGGAACGATTTGTTTGTAGTAGATTGAATTGTTCTATTTTAAACTTAAGTTTAATAGACTTGTCTATCGTTTTGTTTTCTAGAATCTTTCCATTAAAACTTTTATCTTTGTTAAATGTTGTCCTTATGACTCATTATTGAAAAATTTAATGACAAACACTGAGTTTGCCTCAAACTAAACAAATTAATTTTTGAATGAAATTGCACTTATGGAGAAGTATTATTAAATGTTATATTTTTAAAAATGATAAGTCTAAATTATTTTGAGTTCTAAAAATTTTTGAGTTTTTTAAACTTTTAGAGAGTAAAATGTTACTACTCATTGTTCTTTGTTATTATCATTATTTTTAGTTTAATGGTTAAGAGTGTTTGAACCAACTTACGATTACTTCAACTAAATTTCTCTCCGATTCGATCAAAGGCAAGCAAACTATCCTCTTCTTGTTCTTGGGTGTGTTACGTTCAGATTAATTAATGTTGTCGATTCCTTACCCATCCATCTGATCCTTGGACTAATTATAGTAATAATTCATCTTCATCCCATATTTGGTTCAAGTATTAATAAGTAATAAGTTCCACATTTATCACATCTAATACTTTGTTTGAATGAAGTATTAAATGATGGTATAAACATTAAATTACTAAAAAAACCCTCAAGATAAAGAGTGATATTTATATCATACTTGAGGGTAAAAATGTATTTTGGCCAAATACATCCTAATTGGACTATTTAAACCCACAAAAAATGTGGGTTTATTTAAGAGGTTGTATGTAGTATTAAATACACTATTCATCCTAACTGATATTATTTTTAAGTGATAATACTAGGTCCAAAATGTGCATTCGAACATGGATATAAGAGACATAAGGAGGGACCAACGTTATCTTATTTAATCTCTCTTTACAAATACCTAAAGCAAACACACCTTATGGGTATAATTCATTTGTGTCATTAAATAGTGGTTGGAATGGATGATTACTTACTAGAACTTCTTGATATTTCTATTACAACAAGCAAACTTGAGAGGAAATTTTTTTCCCATTACTAAATAAAGGAATTTTTCTATTGAAAAACACGAACTCATTAGGTGTTTATATCCCCGTTAGCTTACTGGGATTTCTTCTATCAATTTGAAATGCGAAGGTTCCAAAGCTAGACCTTAAATCACTTTAATTAATATCTAATAAACTTGTTAAACTTACTCTAGATAATTAATGTGTTGTTACCATTGGATAAACAATAGATTTGACTAGATCTAGATCTTGATGATCTTTTTCTCAAAAACTAAATTTGAGATTAGTTTTCATGTATGAGTAAGGTGATTTATGATAAAGTTAAAAATTGAATACTGAAATTGAGAATGCATTTGATAATGTTTTTTTTTTCTATTGTAAAAATGAAAAAACATAAAACATGTTTGGTAGTTATTTATATTTTAAAAATATGAAAACAAAAATAAAAAGCATGTTTGGTATTATCTCAAACCCACCACTTAATACCATCAAAAACCTGTCACCGAACCATCGAAAACCCACAACACCACCCAAAACCCATTACTCAATATCCCTGAAAATCCACCACCCAACCACAAAAAACCTACCACTCAACACCTTTTGAAACCCACAACCCAGCCCCTGAAAAACCACCACCCAACCACAAAAAAAAAAAATTTGATAGAGGTGAGAGAGGCAAGAAAGAGAGCGCAAGAGGGAGAGAAGCCAACTAGAGAAAGAGGGGGGGGGGGGAGAGAGAGAAATATAGAAGTGTGTAGAGAAGGAGACAGGAAAAAGAGTAAGTGAAAGGAGGGGTTATACTCAAGTTAGAAAACTCATTTTTTTTGTTGCTAAGTAGGATCGAATCGGGATCTCATTAATCCCAAGACGAAGTCTCCACATGTTTTTGTTTTTTGGGTGTTTATGAAAACGGTTTTTTTGTGTTTTCATTTTTGGCTTTGTTTTTAAAACAGAGTTCCTAAAAAGAGTAAAAACACATCATAAACATATTTTTATTTTTTATTTTTGAAAATAATTAAAAACAAAAACAAAAAAAAAACATAAACAAAAGGTTACCAAATGCGACCTAAATGTTGAATTTTAAGTGTTGAAATTAAATTTTTTAATTTGCAGATTATTTAGCATCCACTAAAAATTAAATATTGAATTAAATAAAACTGTTTGACAAATATATAAAGCTGAAGTTTAAAATTATTAGTATTTTAATTTTGTCATTCATTTTAATCATCTCACAATAATTATCTTATTTCTACCACCACTATTTTGATGGCGGCGACGACGACGATAATGGCGGTGGCACAATGATGACAATGGTGGTAGATGACGGGTATTGAAAAGTTAAAAATATAAAATAATTGAGTTTATATTTGTTAATTATGTAAAATTTATAAAATTCTTGCTAACTAATATTTTTAGCATTAAGTTATAAGTAACTTGCTTATTTTTTAAAATTTTAGCATATTTTTAAGAAGTATTTAAAATATTATGGGATATGAATTTTAGGTTAGTAGATGAATTTAATTCATGAAATACTTAAAGTATTTAGTTTTAAGCATTAAGTGATATTATCAAACAACTCTAAAAGAGACACTTGTACAGGGTGAATCCTTCCTTAGTTTAGAATTGCCGATCAATTATTGTAGGAAATTGGAAAAAATTTCTCAATTTGAAACAAAACTTTGGATTGAATTTTTTTTTCATTTTTTTTTATTTTTCTTATGAACTTACAAAATTAAATAGATGGATAGTTTTAACATTCTTTATGTTAAATCATACTGCAGTCGCAAATAATCAAGGTGCATTCAAATTAGAATAATTAAATTAAGTTTAAATAATATTATTAGATATTGTTTTTTAATTGAAAGGTGCAAATTACCAATTTTTTTTTTTTAGCAAACATGGCATAACCAGGCTATTTTTTTTTTATGGCCAATCAGGCTAGATTGGCTTCATCTTATGTAGTCAATTAATCAATTAATTACTTGATTAATTAGCTTCTAAACTGACCGGAGGTGGAAGACTGATCAACCCGCCGTCGACGGCGAGTTCATGTCCGGTTATGAACGCAGACTCGTCGGAGACGAGAAACAACACAGCATCTGCGACGTGTCTGACACTTAGCACAGTCCCTTTCAAGCTTGTGAGTGGCTCGTACCTCTTTCGAACTCCCATCATCTCCTCCGGCGACTTGCAAGTCAACCCCGTTGGTACCGCCGAAGGCGACACACTGTTAACCCTAATCCCATACCCTCCAAGCTGATGACTTGCACAACGAACCAGCCCAAGCACAGCGTGCTTCGACATAATGTAATCGGTCCGCATGTTTGCTCCTCTACTCGCCGCTACGCTTGCCGTGCACACGATGCTTCCCTTCACGCGCCGCTCTACCATTGAACGCGCCGCCTGCTTCACACAAATTGCCATGCCTCGCGTGTTGACTGCAAACAACCGGTCGAACTGAGAAACATCAAGGTCGAGCACAGTCTGATCGGAGCTGCTTATAGTTCCCGCGTTGCTGAACATGATATCGAGATTGCCGTAGGTTTGGACGGTGAAAGCTACTAGAGTTTTGACTTGTTCTTCGTCACTGACGTCACAGTGGACATAGCTGCAGTGATGTGAGCCGATGGATTGTGCTACAGATCGGCCGAGTTCGTCTTGGATGTCAGCGATTACGACGATTGCCCCATGATCGGCGAAAAGACGAGCGGTGGCTTCGCCGATGCCGCTTGCACCGCCGGTGACTATGGCTACTTTGCCTTGTAGTTTTTTCACACACACACTAGGTTCTGCCATTTTCTTTGCTCACCCTGTGGAAATTTGAAAGATAGTTCCTGTCTCACTCTGGTTTATCAATAATGGATACCATGTGATAACGCAAGTTAAGTTTTGAGTGTTTTCCAAACATGAATTTTAATTTTATTATTTTTAAGGGGTATGTGAAGTAGTCATACGAACGAGTTGTAAGATAAAATGTCTTCATTTTGAATTTTAATAATTTTTTAAAATTAGATCATAAGAAATTTATCCAGAACTTTAATTCGAGCGCAGATAATATACATTTTATTTAGACGAAAAAAAAATTAGTCAAAATATATATAAAATGACCTAGACACGTCAATCTCCTTTGAATAACTTTAAAATAAGGTTAATCTCATTTTACACTTCGAAAGATCGTTCGAATCTCAATTTGTACCCTCAAAGAGTAAAAATCTCAATTTACACCCTCAAAGATAGAAATTTGTATCAATGTGTACCCCAAAAATCAAAAATTTCAATTTACACCCTCAAAGATAGAAATGTATATCAATGTGCACCCCCAAAAATCAAAAATCTCAATTTGCACCCTTAAAGATAGAAATTTATATCAATGTGCACCCCAAAGATAAAAAATTTCAATTTGCACTCTCAAATATAAAAATTTGTATCATTATGCACTTAAAACTAAATTGATAAATTATATCTAGATCTCCTCATGTTTGTCACTTAATCATTTGGACCTCTTTATATTTAGAATATTACTCCTACAACTCATAACATTTATGCACGTACAACATGTAACTCATTTTCATTGATATCTGTTAATATAACCGCTAAAAAATATAATTTTATCCTAATAAAAAATTATAATTTCATATTACCCTTATTTTATGGATCCAATATACTCTAAAATTTAAAATCAAGCTTACCATTTGAATGTCTAATAAAATGTAGATATTTATATAATGTTTTTCATATTTTCCTTTATATAAATATTTACATTCTATTAGACATTTAAATGGTAAGCTTGATTTTGAACTTTAGAGTATATCGAATCCACAAAATAAAGGGTAATATGAAATTATAATTTTTTATTAGGATAAAATCATATTTTTTAACGATTATATTAATAGATATCAACGAAAAGTGGTTATGTTTACACATGTATAAACGTCATGAGATGTAGGTGTAATATTTTAAATGTGAAGGGGTTCAAATGATTAAGTGACAAACACGAGGGGATCTAGGTATAATTTATCAATTTAATTTTAGGTGCACATTAATACAGATTTATATCTTTGAGGGTGCAAATTGAGATTTTTGATCTTTGGGGGTATACATTGATACAAATTTCTCTCTTTGAGGGTGTAAATTGAAATTTTTGATCTTTAGGGATGCAAATTAAGATTCGAATGATCTATCAGAGTGTAAAATAAGATTAACCCTTAAAATAAAAGTCAAAAACATTACTTCATCTTTCTCTCTTTCTATTCTTTTTTCTCTCTCATAGGACACAACAAAACACAAATCCACACATACTCAAGGCACATGATGTCTTTCCGTCAATGACTTAAATGAAAGTTAGTGCGAGACATCACATCGATAAAATGTATTAATTTTAAAGATTAAATTGATAAAATTAAAATTTTAAGAATTAAAATTCATCAAGTAATAAATCTCAAGAAATGTTGGTATAATTTAACCTTCACATAATTCCATGTTTGAGATAAATTTCTTGAAAGCTGCCACTACTTTTGTACTTTTCATTTTGGGCCATTCATGTGGATAAACTTTTGACAAAAGTTAATCAGCAATTGATATTTTTTTGTTTAGATGCCCGTCGTAGGCCAACAACAAATCGTAGTCAAGAGATTTATATATATTTTTTAATGAAGTGGTTTTTTTATTATGTAAATTGCAACGTGCTTCAAATGTTCAATAGTTTTGAACTTCATTAAAAACAATTAAATGCTATTTGTCATAAGCATTTTTTTTTTTAAAAAAAAATTTCACTTTGAAATGATGGATTACCATATTTCACTTTTATAGTCAAAGTCAAATGAATTGTGAACAAATTAATTGAAAACAAAGATTGAAAGGAGAAAATAAAGACCCAACATAGAAAGATGAGGGATCAATTATTGTCGTTGAGAGTGATGTTTCACCTTCTTCTCAAACGAACTAAGGGCAATTATTGAATTTCTTGTGTGGTGCTAATTTATCATGTTGTGGAGCAATGCTATGGACCTAATTTAGGGTTTGAATTAGGAACCTAGTTCAATACAGTTATTAGATTAATTATGAGTTCAAATGGTAGATGGAATTCACCTTTAATTTAATGGTTGCATTAAGTTAGGTTTCCAACTCAATGACAAACTACCTTCGTGTGTATGCGAACCATGATTACTAAAAGAGGCAAAGGGTTTGGAGAATGGTAAGAGGTTTATCCCTAAACCCTTGCTGCCATGGATAATTGTGGGCGATTTTAATATAATTGGCTTCGTTTGTGATAAGAGAGGTGGAAGACTGGAAATATCAAAAAGATTGAAGAATTTCAGGGCTTTGTATCTGACTGTGGGGTTGTAGAATTGTAGAAGAAAATGTCCAAGAACGAATAGATCATGCTCTGGCCAATTTGAATTGGAGGTGTCTTTTCCCCTTTGCCCAGGTTATCCATGAACATAGAATGAGATCTGATCATAGCCCGATTGAGATTTATTTTTGGTTTGAAAAAGAAGAAGAAAGTTCCCTTTCGTTTTAAGTTTAAGGTTATGTGGCTAGAATCAGAAAATTGTGGTGAGGTTTGATGGTACCTAGAAAACCCAAGTCTGAGCACGGTAACTTAGGTCATGCTACTCAGGTTAGGAGATCATCTCATTATTAGCAAACCTCGACCTTAGACCTCAACCACGTCTCGAGAAAGGCAGTGCGAAGGACAACTGGATCCTACTGAGTACCCCTCTTTACGACAATAATTACCCAGCAGGCACAAATCTCGTGAATCCGTTACAATCATTGCGCAATAGAGACAATCATCATAAGGGAGAGGCAAGGATCTCGCCCCAAATCAAGCTAGGCCAAAAAATAATTATAAATAGGAGGCAGAGTCCTTATAAAAAAGGGGGAGCCATTTGTAGCCTTACAAGGACATTCCCTATAAACTTCACTCAATAATCAATACATTCGAGAGTAAGAGACTCCATTGAGAGTGGATTAACTGAGTTTCCTAACTGGTAAACCACTATAAAAGCTCTGTATAATCACCTACTTATACCCAGATCCTATTCCCTAGAGCCTCGCAGCTCAGACTAAACTGCATCTATTCGTTCAATGCACTTATAAATCTACACCACTACTCGATTGTGCTGAAGAACATCATCAATTGACGCTGTTTATGGGAATGACTATTCCTGTTGAAAATATACTAATATTCTTCAGTAGTTGATGGTTTCTACACGCAACATGAACATAAGTCAAGTGAATCCTCCTCAATTACATAACCAACAAGAAGTTACAACTAGAAGACAACATGAAAATCCCCGTGTTATGTTGCCTCACAAGAAGTTGATCCCCTCATGGTGGATTCCACGCCTAACAACAAATTGGAAGCTCTTCGACTAGCCAATCAACATCTCCTCCAACAAAACGAGGAATTACTCAACCTCCTTCAGTGTCCCCAAAGGGCACAGCCAGCCCAAGGTGATCCTCTTCAGAGGGAACAAAAGTGCAATGACCCCTTGAGGATCTAATTTATACTGATTGAAGAAGGAAGCATTGAGTCTAGCCAACGACAATAAATAAAGGCGCTGCTTGGTAGGCAATCCAAGGGGAGTTTGTTTTCTTATTTTCACATTTATATTTTGGTTATTTTTTCCTTTTCTTTGCATTTCACCTTACATTGGAGACAATATAAGTTTTAAGTGTGGGGGAGGGGATTTAAGTTGTGTTTTAATTTTTTATTTTTGAAAAAAAAAATTGCATGGTTTTTCAAAAACTTTTCGAAAAAAAGGTTTTGCTTTTTTTTTTTTATTTTGTGGTTTTCAATGATTTTTGGTTATGTATGTCATGAGCAAGATTCAATTATTAGCTTAAAAATTTCATATCATGATTGAATAAGTAATCTTCCAACTTAGAATTAATTAGTCTAGTTATTTTCCGTGAGAATGGTAGTGAATAAATTTAGTAGACAAAAGCTAGTGAAATTTTGAGCCTTTAGACTGACACATCCATATCAATCTCACTATTTTATTTCATGTGAGATATTCTTCAATGAATTTATTTCTCTAAAACATGACTTGATTCTCTTCGAGGTCATATTGACACATGCATGCATGAACATGATTAAAACCTTCTTTGTTATAAGCTACATAAGTCAGATGATCTACCTTGTAATTAATTTTTCTCTTTGTTGAACCCCTTTGAGCTTTATTTTTTTTTTTTCCGTTTATTGTGAACCCACGTTACAAGCTTTAAACCCGAAAAACAGTGCCTTTACCCAAGCCGTAAAGTTAGTGGAGCATTGTTCATCATTATGATATGTATGGGTGTGCAAGAAATAAGTGAGGGGGTGTCTGGATTTGTGGTATGGCTATGACTAGTGAAATGGAATAGGTTCTCATTCTCAATTCGTGAGTTCCATTGTTAATGTAATTTTAGTGTTCTAAAAAAAAGAAAAAAGAAAAAAAGAGAGAGAAAGGAAGTAATGGAGGAAATTGCTTTTAATGTTAAAAACTACCCATGTTCATAACTCCTCCTAAAATTTCAAGAAAGGGGTCTGTTCATACGTGACATATAAAAAGGTAGAAGCTTTTGCAAAGAATCGTTCCCTGCTGCAAACGATAAGTGTTCTTTTTGAACGATCTCTTTTTCAATGCAAAAATTTTATATGGTTTAAATGCTTTAAAGCCAAATCAAAGAAGCTGTTGAATGGAGTGATTGGTTTTGCATATCTTATATATTCGAGTCTGAATTGATTCATTTTTGTTCCACTAGTTTGGATGGCTTTTGAGCTACACTCCAAAATATTTCCTACCTTGATCCTAAATCCCGTTACACCCTTTGAAAAGTCCTTATGATTTGTGTTATGCATGTGATATCAATGGTGGAGAATGAGAAGAAATGCAAGCCTATGGTAGATTATTTTCATTGTAATGAATTTGAGCGAAACACATAACCTTCAAACACATGAGAGTCGAGTGTTTATTTCTGTGAGGGTCTACGTATTTAGTTTACTCCATCTTTGAATGAAAATTCCTATTGAGTAATTGTAAGTTGTTCGAAAATATTAGTTCATGATATGTTATGAGTTTTGAAGAGTTTGATTTGTTCTTTATTAATGACGTTGCAACCTTGGTGCTTTTGAGAAAGTGAATTTGAGTTTTGCCCGAGGAGGAGCAAAAGTTAAGTGTGAGGGAATTTGATGAGAATGTAAAATGTTATATTTTCTCTTTTAATATTTTGCCTTTTATACTTATTTTGTGCCGAAATGTACTCATTATTTTTATATTTTGATTTAGGATGCAAATGGAGGCGTTAAATGCAAAACGAAATTAATTTGACGATTTTGGACAGTTTCAACATCGCTTCGTAATTTGGGCATAACTCTCTCATCCGTACTCTGATTGAGATGATTTAAGATGCTATGGAACGTGAAGAAAAAGCTGTACAACTTTCAAGTTTTGAGTTTTGACAGATATTAGCTACATCAAGGTTGAAATTGGGCTTAAAGTTGCAACACGTGCACTGTTATTCCTATCTATTTTCGGGAGCTTAAAAACTTGGAGTAGGAAGATTCCAGAGGAACACCACTTTCCTAGTTATATTAGGATTTTATTTTATTTTTAATCTTATCCTTTAAGAGTCAGACTTGGGGAGAGGTGTAATACCCAGGGTAAAAATAAGAAACAAATAATTAAATAACAATAATAATAATAATAATAAGTTGGATTTGAGAAGTTTTAGACTTTTGATTTATTTGAGGTCTATCCTTATGAGCTTATAGATATGCTTTGAAAATCAATGGAGATAATTTAGTATAATTATAGAGACCTATTAGAATTATTATACATGTGATTTAAATAGGATAATATTGTTGGATAGGTCAGTCATCAAGCTAATGATGACAAGAGACGGGGTCAGTTACCAGACTAGTGATAACAAGAGACGGGGCCAGTCATCAAGCTAGTGATGACAAAAGATGAGACCAGTTATCAGGCTAATGGTAACAAACGTGATTTGACAAATGTATTTGAGACTGAATGTGTGTGTGAATGTTTTGAGTTATAAAATGTCTTTTTATTTATAAAGTTATTTGTGAAAATGAATGGGTGTTTTTTGTTATAAATATCTTTTTATTTATAAAGTTATTTGTGATCAGAATATCATTTTGTTTACATGATTATGTGAGAGAGATTGTGGTACAATTTGTTGTACTTACGTATGTATCAAAATTTATTTTTGTATATTAATTATGAGATTTATTTTCACACCTCATTAGAGGTGGTTGCTATTCACGGGTCATTGTGCTCATCCAAATATTTAACATATTTCAGGTGAGGAGTAAGTCCCCGAATAGACAACAAATTAAAAGAATTGAAGATTTATTTTCTTGTAGGTCTTCAAAAATAAATATCTTTTATAGTTTTGAGATAAATATTCAATTGTTTTGGAAGCAATGTTGCTAATGCTTAAAGTAATGAATCTTATAGTTTAATTATTGTTTTACATGAGTTTAATAATGATGTTGGTGATGTTTAGTTTATTTCTCTGATATTCATTAGGTCGATAGATTGAATCACTTTATTATTTGTCTTCCGTTGTATTTTGTATTTATTATGCATAAAGATGATTAGTTAAGGCCTTGGTGGCTAGTCCGCTGCCCACCCTATGTGATCCGGGGTGGGGGTGTGACAAAAGGTTTCCAAGGAAAAGAGGGATGAACGTGTAAAGAGGAGGAGGAAGAAAAAAAAATAGAAGACTACACATGCTGTTTTGCCCCTTATTCTCTACTTTTTCCTTCCAGTTCTCATGAGGGTCATGCGTGGCTAAACCGTGATACTTGGTCGAAGGAAACGGAAGCCTCAAATTAATAAAACTGTGAGATCTAATTTGTTTTTATTGTTCAATTTATGATTTGAGTATCGAATGTTCTGTTGTGCCTATTTTTCATGATTGTCTCGTTTAATTACCAGGAGGCCTAGTAGTTTATTATTTTTTGCAATCTACTGCTAAGTTAGATATCAAATCCGTAATTGTTTGATTACTCTAATTTGTGAAACAACTAAGATTAAATGATTTGCTGCATCATAAATTATTAGGTCTTAGGAAGAATGCTCGATTAAATTAAATTCATTCACTTGTGCTTATGTTGTTTAGTTTCATCGATTTTTCTAATTCTTAATGCTGCTACTAGATTAAACCTTTAGTACTTGTCTTGAGTTGTTTAGTAGTTAAGGTTAATTAGATTGTTTGTTTTCTAATTAATTGCGACTGAGGAAAAATAGGAAGATAGTTCTAGCGGTGAATATTCAGATAGTGAATTGGTATATACTTGTATCGATGATCAGTTGTAAATTAAATTCTGACGGTGGATGTTGACTTAGACCAATATTTGTTCTCTTGATTGATTTTGATACTTTAATTTGAATTGTTCTTTAGTTGTTTTTCTTAAAATTGTTTTCGTTAAACTCAAACCCTCTCCATCTTTGTTCACGAGGCATAAAATTAGGCTAGATACTCTCTGTGGGAATGATCCTTACTCGCACTACTACATGTATTTTTAGGAGTATAGGTTTTATTTTTGGTTGCCTGCGACAGCACACCAAGGGGAGAGAGAAAGAGAGAGAGGGACGAAGACAGAAAAAAGATGAAATGAAAGGAAAGAAAAAAAAACTCAATTTTTTTGTTGCTAAAGAGGATCAAAGTTAAGATCTCATTAATCCCAAGATGAAGTCCTCACATGTTTTTGGTTTTGGGTGTTTATAAAAATGCTTTTTTTTGTGTTTTTATTTTTGGGTCTTGTTTTTAAAACAGAATTTCTAAAAAAAACAGAAACACATCACAAACACATTATTATTTTTATTTTTAATAAAAATTGAAAAGAAAACAAAAAATATATATAAAACAAAAGGTTACCAAATATGACCTAAATGTTTAATTTTAAGTGTTGAAGTTGAATTTCTTTATTTACAAATTGTTTGGTTTCTACTGAAATTTCAGTATTGAATTAAATCAAACTGTTTGACAAATATACAAAATTGAAGTTTGAAAATTATTAGTATTATAATTTTGTCGTTCTTTTTAATCATCTCACAGTAATTACCTTATTTTTACCATCACTATTGTGATGGTGACAACAAAAATTATGGTGGCGGCACAATGATGATGGTGGTGATGGATGGTAAATATTAAAAAGTTACGATTATAAATTGCATTGAGATTACATTTGTCAATTATGACAAATTTATAAAATCCTTATTAATTAATATTTTTAGCATTAAATTAAATAATAAGTATGTGGTTTGTTACTTAAAATTTTAGCATATTTTTAAAAAATGTTTAAAATATTAAGTGATATGAGTTTTAAGTTATCAAACGAATTTAATTGATTAATTGATTAAGTGGTATTATCAAATAACTCTATAAGAGACACTTGTAAAGAGTGAATCCTTCCTTAATTTAGAATTGTTGATCAATTATTGTAGGAAATTGGAAAAATTTTCTCAATTTAAAACAAAGCTTTGGATGGAATTCTTTTTTTATTTTTTATATAAACTTACATAATGAAATACATGCATATTTGTACATACTTTACGTAAAATCATACTAAAGTCGAAAATAATCAAAGTGCATTAAAATTAGAAATAAAAGTGCATTAGAATTAGAATAATTAAATTAAGTTCAAATATTATTAGAGATTATTATTTTTAATTGAAAGGTACAAATTGCTTCTTTTTTTTTCCAGCAAACACAGCATAATCAGGCCAGATTTTTTTTTTTTTTTTTTTTGAGGCCAATCAGGCTTGTTTGGCTGCAGCTTATGTACTTATATATAATTAAACAATCAAGCAAAATTACTCAATTAATTAGCTTCTAAAGAGACCGGATCTGGAAGACTGATAAACCCACCGTCGACGGCGAGTTCATGTCCGGTAATGAACGCAGACTCGTCGGAGACGAGAAACAACACAGCATCTGCGACGTGTCTGACACTTAGCACAGTCCCTTTCAAGCTGGTGAGTGGCTCGTACCTCTTTCGAACTCCCATTATCTCCTCCTGCGACTTGCAAATCAACCGCGTTGGTACCCCCGACGGCGACACACTGTTAACCCTAGTCCCATACCCCCCAAGTTGATGAATTGGCCAACGAACCAGCCCAAGCACAGCGTGCTTCGACATAATGTAAACAGTCCGCTTGTTTGCACCGTTACGCGCCGCCCCGCTCGCTGTGCACACTATGCTTCCCTTCACGCGCGGCTCCACCATTGCCCGTGCCGCCTGCTACACACAAATTGCCATGCCTCGCGTGTTGACTGCAAACAACCAGTCGAACTGAGAAACATCAAGGTCGAGGACAGTCTGATCGGAGGTGCTTAAAGTTCCGGCGTTGTTGAACATGATATCGAGATTGCCGTAGGTTTGGACGGTGAAAGCTACTAGGGTTTTGACTTGTTCTTCGTCACTGACGTCGCGGTGGACATAGCTGCAATGATGTTAGCCGATGGATTGTGCTACAGATTGGCCGAGTTCGTCTTGGATGTTGGCGATTACGACGAGTACCCCATGATCGGCGAAAAGACGAGCGGTGGCTTCGCCGATGCCGCTTGCTCCGCCGGTGACTATGGCTACTTTGCCTTGTAGTTTTTTCTCACACACACTAGGTTCTGCCATTTTCTTTGCTCACCCAGTGGAAATTTGAAAGATAGTACATGTCTCACTCTGCTTTATCAATAATGGATACCATGTGATAACGCAAGTTTTGAGTGATTTCCAATCATGAATTTTAATTTTATTATTTTTAAGGGCATGTCAAGTAGCGATAAAAACGAGTTGTGCGATAAAATGACTTGAGTTTGAATTTTAACAATTCTTGATAGTCATATCACGAAAAATTTATTATTCATGGGAACTTTAGTCTCAATGTACTTGAGTTTGAATTTTAACAATTCTTGATAGTCATGTCACGAAAAATTTATCATTCACGGGAACTTTAGTCCCAATGTGAATAGTATACCTTTGCTCGAATGAAAAAAAAATTTAGTCAAAATGTACATAAAATAACTCCGACACATCTATGTATCCTTTGAACAACTTTAAAACAAGATTCAAAAACAATTTTGCTTCTTCCTCTCTATCTATTCTTTTTTCTCTCTCATATGACACAACAGAACACAAATTCACACATAATCAAGGCACATGATGTCTTTCCGACCATGATTTAAACAGAAGTTAGTGTGAGAAATCACATCGATAAAGTGTATTAATTTTGAGGATTAAATTGATAAAATTAAAATTTTAAAGATTAAAATTCAACAAATGATAAATCTCAAGAACTGTTGGTATAATTTAGCCTTCACGTAATTCCATGTTTGAGATAAATTTCATGAAAACTACCACTACTTTTGTACTTTTCATTTTGGGCCATTCATGTGGATAAGCTGACAAAAGTTAATCAGCAATTGATATCTTTTTTGTTTTAGTAATATTAGACCGACCAAAAATAGAGATTAAAATTAAATACCAAATCACATAGCAGCCTAGTCAGCATTCTAAATAAGTTGTCATGTCATTTAATAAAAAAATTAATATTTTATTAATATTTGGGTTAAAAACTTTTCAACTTCCCCACTTCCACCGTCAATACCCATCTCTCTCTCTCTCTTTCTCTCTCTCTCGCTTACGTACTCTAGTATCTGCTCTCTCCTTTCTTTCTTCGCTTACGTCCTCTAGTATCTGCTCTCTCCTTTCTTTCTTCGCTTACGTCCTCTAGTATCTGCTCTCTCCTTTCTTTTTTCTCTGCCAAAGAAGAAAACCACCCAAGAGTAATGCTACGCTAAATCACGTCTTCTCAAGATGTTCAACTGTGAAGAAGCTGTTTGATGGGTATGATGATTTAGTCACTAGGTTCAACTCTTTCCTATTGACGAAGAAGAAGCCTGTCGTCGCTTTGTCGGAGGCGTACAATAGCACGGTAGAATATCAAACTCCGACTTCATCGTGGACGACACAGATCGAGTTTGTAAAAAAGGTTCAAAAGCATTTCGAAGACGATGTTCGGAGAAATAAATCGTTTCTTGATGCTTTGGGTATGTGGCGATTTGGGGACAGGGTCATTGATCAGCTCAATCAAGAGGTTGCTGGTGTGTTTAAAGAGCTCCCAGATATGTACATGGAGTTCAAGGGGTTTTATGGTGATTTTTCAGAGGAGAAATCGACTGATAGGGAGCGAATTGACAAGAATTAAAGACTCAGAGAAACGAAAAATTATATGTTCAACAAGAGGCTGAAACATACCTTCGACTCGTGAACCAAACTCTCCGTTTCGTCTCGATTATTACAACAAAACATCTGCTACCACGAGCAAAAAAATTGGACTTTCTCTATATCGATTATTTCTGAATGTTACAAATGTTTATCAGGCAGCTCTGTTTCTTAAAGGACTTGTCCAATTTTTCATAGGGTTTCAAGATCATAAAATTCTAAGTGAATTTGAACGATCCAAAATGGCCATCAATTGATGATTCAATTAAGGGTTTTGTGGTTCAATTGGTTGATAATGAGGCTATCTATCCTTTGATTTCTAGCATATCTAGGACAGAGTTCTGTATCTGAAACTTTTGTGCAATTGCTAAAGCCACTGTTCATATTGATCTCCACTTTGTAGTGATTAAGTCAAATCTTCTTTATTTTGATTCTTTGTTCTTGGTGGTAATCATCAGTTGTGCTTGATTAATGAATGTTAGGAGTATTGAATTAGCCAACAATTTTGCTTGATTATAATTGAAATTTCTTAAATGAAAAGCCAAGTTTTTTTAAATTGGAATGTCACTGAATCACCATTTGATGAGTCAGTGTTGGCCTTTACAAGAAGAACTAATGACTCAAAAAATGTGAATTCAAGCACTTAATTTTCCCTAACAACACTTACAAAGGAGAGCAGAGGTAGCAGTGGAACTAAATGTATAAAGCCCAATCTTTCACTCTCTTAGTGAGTACTTTTGCAATGTATTACACAAATTTTTTTTCATTATCACCAACTGAATCATATAATTTGGAGGAATTGCATGATTAACCCTTTGTACATGACACTGACAATGTCAATCGTATTTGTCAATTATACACAATCTCTAATCTTAAATCCAGTTTCAACATATAATAGCACATAAAAGTCAAATCAGGGTTTCCAAAGAAACCATTCCACCATGACAAACAATTTTGACAGAACACATCCAATTCAATATACTGGCCAGCTATATACCAAATACTAAGAACAATTAAATCCAATTCCACCAAAATCAATCAATAATGAAAAAGAGGTATCAAAATAAAACATAGTTAGTCAATCTATCAGCAACACAATTAGCCAATCTATCAGCACAACATAGTTAGCCAAAAAATTAATCTCATACATCATAACTCCATTTCCAAAATAAAACAAAACAAATCAAATAAAAATATGTTTTCTGTGTCTTCTATTTGACTTTGAAGTTGTACCAAAAATTTTGTATTTTCCTCTGCATTGACTTTTGCCTACACAAACCAAACTAATAGATCTTAAAACTGTATATAAATGGATCCAAAAGCTATTGAAAAATTAAGAAAACTAATAGAACTTAAAATGGTATATAAGAAGTTCATAACTCACTTATTGGTCTGGACACTTTGAACCACTCTTGCCAGCATTCCCATCCTTTCCTGAATTTAGGCTTCTCTATATATAGTAAAAATTCGAAAAAAAATTAAAGTGCATGAAGATGTGAATTAGATGAAAATTAACAAATGAATATCGTACCAGGTATTGTATGATATTGGACAATTGTATAGTATCGTTGATTCCAAATACTGGTGGAGTAGGGAATATGATCCATACCATATATACCTCTCCAATATGAAAAGTGTTCAACCACAATAGAATTAAAGTTCTTGTTAATCCGAATTCCAATTCTGTCATTCATTTCAAGTCTTCTTTTGATGTATGGTCTTATTATCCTGTTGCATCGATAGAAACGAGATTTGACCAGACTCAACCCATGGTTATGTGCAAGCATGATGGAAGTCACTCGCCACTTGCCATCGGGACATATAGTTGCTCTCAACTTAGCTTTACAGTCAATTTTGGTGATTGGATGCATTTGTAAGGTATTTCTTGACGTAAACTTTGACTTTCCTGAGCGAGAACATGCAAATGTCACATATTTTAGCTCTCCATCATCTCCCTTTGACGATGTTTTTCTTTTTATGGGAAACCCTAGGCCATTACCATATTTTATGTAGTACTTCATTATTTCGTCAATTGTATTAAACATCATTCCCAATTTTGGTTCTTCTAATTTTTCTTCTACATTAATTGCATTATCAACTTCCTTCTCACAAGTATTATCATTCATCTCCATACTTGTATAGTTAGTTGGAATTTCTTCTTCCATTCCTATCCAATAAAGAACAAAACATAGATAATCAAAAAACATAGAAATAGTAGATTGTCAATGCATTTTCAAGAATTCTGTAAGCTTCCTATATTGGCTCACAAAGCTTTAATCCCTAAATTAAGATTTTGGTTATCCGTCTTCCAACCTTTTCTGCCCATCACAAAGTTCCAAAAACTACAATCTACATAATCATAAGCTTTCTCAATATCAATTGATATGTGTGTGTGAAACCCAAATTAAACATCAATTGTTGTGTGTGGGTGTGTGTGTGTGCTGCTGTGGGGTGTGTGTGTTTTGTGCGTGTGTGTTTTTGCAGGGGCGGAGTTATGATTCTATCTTAATAGGGACAAAACCATAAATAAAAATTATAATCAGCTTGTATTAAAAAAAATTCTGCATCTCCATTAATAATGACTAAATTAGGTGCATATTTTACACAACAAATTCCCTAGTTCACCTATGAGAAGTATGTTAAGATCAAAGACTTAATTACAGAATGGAAATTAAAAATAAATATTAATTCAATATGAACAAACAAAAATAATAATATTTTTATTGCACATTTTAACTCAGTTATTTATTAAAGAGAAACACAACAATGCTATTTCAAATTCTAATAATCGTTTATAATTGATCAATTCTAGAAGATATTTCAAAATAATTTCTTTTAATCTTGTCGAGAAATTGATTTTTTTAAAAAGGCATAAACACTTTTAGTTTAACACATTTTACATTTGCTATATATCTACTGATTGTGTTACTAGGTTTCAAGCTACTAATTTAAAAAAAAAAAAAAAGAATTAGGGACAGGGAGAGAAAGACATAAGTTTTTTGGCACATAAGTTTGCTAATGCTTAACCTATGAAATCTGGTCCAAGCCCCGGTGAGGGGCACTAAAATATGCAGCTTGTTACCGGAATGCACCATCAAGTTTTTTGGTTTTTAATTTAATTATAACAAATTTGATTGTTCTTTGATTTTGTTAACTCATTGGTATTGTAACAAAGTTCACACTATTTTGAAGATTTAATGATCCACACATTGCAAATTCTGATCATATTACTCATTTTTTGCGGTGTGTGTGTGTGTGAGAGAGAGAAAGAGAGAGGTTACCTACGGCTTTAACCCTTTTGGGAGACATGACTCTTGGGTGATTTTCTTCTTTGGCAAAGAAGAAAGAAAGGGGATGGCAGATAATAGAGGACGTAAGCGAGAGAGAGAGAGAGAGAGAGAGAGAGAGAGAGAGAGAGGGGAAGGTGGGTATTGACAGTGGAAGTGGGGACTAAGCTTATTTGGAATGCTGACTATGCTGCTATGTCATTTGGTCCCTATTTTTGGTCAGCTTAGTATTACTGTTTTTGTTTATATGCCGTTGTAAGCCCAACAACAAATCGTAGTCAAGAGATTTATATTTTTTTATGAAGTATTTTTTTATTATGTAAATTGCAACGTGTTTCAAATGTTCAATAATTTTGAGCTTCATTAAAAAAAAAATTAAATGCATTTTTTAAAAAAAAAATCATTTTGAAATGATGGGTTATCCATGAACCTAGAATGGGTCTGATCATTGCCCCATTGAGATTGATTTTTAGTTTGAAGAAGAAGAAAGTTCCCTTTCGTTTTAAGTTTAAGGCTATGTGGCTAGAATCAGAAAACTGTGGTGAGGTTATAAGAAATAATTGGAAAGCCCCAATTAGTGATCCTTCTCTTACTTCAATTAGTAGGAAAATTGGAAGAATGTAGTACGGATTGAGGTTTGTAAAGTTGTCCAGTAGTTCTTTTCTGATGAACCGAGGCATCCAACCACTAGTTTGACTAATATAATCCTAATCCCCATGAAACCCAATCCAGAGATTATTTCCCAATTTCGGCCAATATCCCTGTGTAACTTCCATTACAAAATTATTTCAAAGGTGCTTGCAAATAGATTGAAATCTTTCTTGCCTCAATTGGTGATTCCCAACTAGGAACTTTTCTTCTACACCGTCAAATTCAAGATATCATCTTAGTATCTAACAAGGCATTCCACTCTATGAAAGTGAAGAGGAGGGGGCAGTGTGCTTCCATGGCAATTAAACTGGATCTGAACAAGGCCTGTGATCGTATTGAATGGGACTTCTTGGAGGCTATCTTGCTAAAACTGGGTCTAAATCCAAAGTGGGTGAAACTTATCTACCGGTGTGTAAGCACGGTTACCTATGAAGTGATCATTAATAGAAAAGCTTGTGGTAGGGTTAAGCAAGAAAGGGGATTGAGGTAAGGAGACCCTCTATCCGCTTACCTTTTCTTGCTAGTAGTTGATGTGCTCTCCAGAATGGTGTACAGGGAGGTAAATGAAGGGAAGATTTCAGGTCTTACAATTGAAAGGACCAGCCTTTTGCTATCTTATCTTTTCTTCGCTGACGATGCTTTTGTCTTTCTCAGAGCCAATGCACAAAGGGGTAATAACCTGAAGAATACTCTTGGTCAATTTTGTTTAGCTTCTGGACAGGTTGTTAATCAGGAATTCTCTTCCTAGTAACACCCCTTGGAACAACAAAGGTAGCTATGTGAGGTTTTGGATACCCAAAAACCTTCCAAATTCCACGAAGTACTTGGGGATTCCTTTATTTTGGGGGGACTTTGGATTATTTGTTGGAGAGAGTTATGTCGAAGATTCAAGGCTAGAAGAAATTTCTCCTATCATATGTAGGTAAGGAAGTTTTAATTTAAGTCAGTTATCCAAGCTATCCCTTCTTATGCAATGTCCCGCTTAGCCTTTCCTAAGAATTGTTGTGACAATCTCACCTCCCAAATCCGTCATTTCTGGTGGAACAGTTGTCAGGTTTAAAAGGAATTCCATGGGGGAGTTGGGATGTTCTCACTCGACCTAAAGCTCTGGGTGGTTTAGGCTTTAGAGATTTACAATGATTTAATCAAACTCTACTAACAAAGCAATGACGGCGCCTCATTAGATATCCAAATTCCTTCTGGGCTTAGGATTATGAAATCAATATATTATCCAAATTCAGATTTTCTGGAAGCCAGAAGAGGTGCTACTCCGTCCTGGATATGGAGTAGTTTATTAGTGGGTAGAGAGTTGTTGGAGAAGGGCCTAGGTGGCAAATTCGGAAGTGGGATAAAGGTTAAGTTTTGGAATGACAAATGGGTTCCCACTACTAAATGTGCTGGGGAGGATGTGAAAGTCTGGAATCCTAATCCAAAAGGAGTCTTCAGTCTTCACAATGAAGTCTGGATATTCGGTGGCAAGCGAATGCAAGTAGTCAAAATGACGTAGACAAGGGGAGCTCTTCCAGGGTGGAAAGTGTGGAACACCTATTGTTTTCTTGCGAATGGACATACAGGGTCTGGCTTGGCAGTGAGCTGAGCCTAAGGGCAGATAGTTACTGGATTAATTCTGTCAAAGAGTGGTCAATCAAGCTGATTGAAGCAATGAGCAACCATAGTCAGGTAGCGGAGGCGATGAGTAAAGCAACTACAATTGGGTGGTTTATTTGGAAGATGAGAAATGAGGCGATATTCCAACAGATTACTCCCATTTCTACTACGACAATTCAGCAGGTTTGATTCAGTTGGAGCGAGCAAATCAAACTTCCTCCTCAACATCATAACCCCGCATTGAATCAACCCCCTATTATATTCTTGCATGCCAAATAGGGCGTCAGTTGGCGTGATATGCAGGGATAAGAGAGGCCAAGTGATTGGAGGTACTGCTTATCATATATCGGCTGTGTCTAGTATATACTCCGAAGCGGATGCCTGGAAAGAAGCCTGTATATTGGCTCGGCAGTTTCAAAACCAAAAAGTGGTTATCAAGGACGACTGCAAAGTTCTCATCTATGTGTTTGGGGAAGATGTCTTTCCATAGGAGATTATGACCTTTGTGCAGAATATCAGATCAGCCTCGTTCTTCGAATGGTGCAGCTCATTGGGTGGCCAAGGCATCTAGTGCCTCTATTTTACCTAGAGATAGGGTCTCAGCTCTTCCAGTTGAGCTAACCACTACTCTAATTTCTGATTGTAATATTTGCTCATATGGTTTGAAGGAGAATAGAGGATAAATTAGCCATACACAACTTGATGAAAAATATTTTGACTCAAATCCACGACACCTAAACCACAATGAAACAAACTTGTCATTATGGTAAAACCCGCCCATTAAAAAAAAGTGCAAGACAACATGCACATTCATCACTTGCAACCATTTAATATACAAGTTCCACAGGGCGGGGCGTAACACTAAGATAGACAATGTAGAAGATCAATAAATACAGCAAAATCCACATTTCCATTAGCCTAGTCACTTACTGCTATACGTATATCACGCATAATCTGAATGAGACTCGCAGAAATCACTGGGGCAAGGTGACATGACCTCTTGCTCTAAAAACTGCAACACCTGTTGCATGGATGGCCGATCATCTGCATTTGCATCGGTGCACTTGGCAGCTATTTCTAGAATTGCCTCTACAGTATCCATATCTGAATCGGTACACCTGTTATCTACAACATCCTCCAATCGATTCTCCCTCAAGAGGATGTTCATCTGTGAAAATTTGAGCTTAAGGTCACAAATGTATGAATATCATGAAGCACAAGCAATCACAATTCACACAAAATTCAGAGCAAATTAAGATCTTTGAAAATTGCATGCAGGATAGTTTTAATGGGAGCCAAACAAAAATAAAAGAGAAGCATGAAAGCTTACCCAACCAACAACATTTAAACCCCGTTTTACAAAGGTTGGATCAGTAGGCCTCTTTCCAGTCACAAGCTCTAACAAGAGAACTCCAAAGCTGTATACATCTGACTTCTCAGTGGCGCATCCACTCTGAAGGTACTCTGTTTGCAAGTAACACAATGCAAGACATTAGTCACACCTACCTCCTATGACAATTGAAAATTAAGACGGTGCATAACAATGAGGTAGCAAAGAAAAACGACAAACAACAGACCGGTACAAAAGAAAGAGGGTCTTGAGAACCTTCACATAAATTACAGGGAATGTGAAGAACCTGGGTAATCTTACATCAAAAAGAGAATGAAAAATTCCTTAACATTGTTCAAACAACACTGACACTCTGTAACTACATCCCATGAGTGTAGTAAATACAATGTCAGCAGACTGTACTGCCAGATTTAGTACCTGAGGATAGCATATGCTCAGACTTGTTGTTCAGCAACAAGCGGAGAACATTAAAAGCCATCTCCTGGAGGCAAGTCAATACACCCTCAACAACCCATTTGCTACACGGGCACCCAAATATTAGAATCATTCACACCAGTGTCCTTTTTAAATGGACTATGCTAGCAGTGCTAAGTGCTACAGTGCAAAAGTCATATGGGCAGTGAAGTTTATTTCAGGTATAAAAGGGATATCAAAGGGCAAGTGCGCTTGATTTGTAACTTAATGATGCCACAAAGCACTCATCAGTACCTTTTAAGGAGATATGTCTGTGACAGAAAGACTCATCTAAGACCGAACTGATACTATGGTCAGGGTTATAGAATATTGCAGTAAACAATGCAAAGCAGTAGGACATATCCTAAGCTCAAACAAAATTCATCAGCACGTACCATGAATACAACCACAATAACTAAAAAACATATACACAGACACAACATGATGTTCACCTGTGACTAAAATTGCTCAAGGAATCCACTAGATGAATTTGAGGATACAAATTCAATAGAATACAATGCAAAGGACACACCTGGCGCCAAATAGCCAAAAGTGCCAGCAACCACAGTTGTGACATGGGCATCTTCATCTACCAAAAGCTTGGCAAGGCCAAAGTCTGAAACATGCGGCTCCAGGTTTTCATCAAGTAGTATGTTGCTAGATTTTATGTCCCGGTGGATTATCCTTGGGCTGCAGTCATGATGTAAGTATGCCAAACCCCTGGCAGAACCAAGAGCTATTCTTAAACGAGCATTCCAGTTCAAGGATCGATTGTCTTCCTCCGGTTCTGAGCAAAAATATATAAAATAAGCATGACAAATAGGACTCATATGGCCATCAGAATGACGGCACTATGTTAGTGTTAGAAGCTAATCCATATCTATATCCCAAATAATAATGGACTTTAGACATCATGACATCCAGGCCACATAAACAAGATGACATGGCATCTGTCACGACATTTGAGTGATATAATTCTAGCAGTGTAAATGAATTGCTGAAGGCAGCCAGCAATTCAGGACACTTAATTCAAATCCGGTAAAATAGCATATAGAAAAGTTACTATAATGTTTCTGCACTTGAAAGCTTACCAGACACTGCTAAATGCATAAACTATAATGGCATTGCATTAGTATTAAAATAGCAGTTATAAACATCAAAAGGACTGATGTAATGCCTTGAAATTGGATCATGTCTTATGGTTACACTAGTCATAACCCGTGCCTGAAGGCACGATAAAATATAAAATTCGAGCGTCTAAAAAATCGATCCATTATATTAATTTTTTTCAAAATTTATTAACTATAAATTAATCAAATATTAAATGATTAAATATATGATAAAACATATGATAGAAATAAGTGATGCGATTTGACGTTTGAGCCTGACAAAGGGATGATGGGTGAAGTAAGTGATTAGTGATGGTTTTGAGGGGGAAAATATGACTAGGATAAAATTCAAACACACTCCTATTTTATTATATAGATTTTGATGGATAACATAATATGCAATTTCGTAACACAAATGCTATATAAGTCTTCAAAAATCAAAATATTTGTAATATACAAGGGAAGATTTGAGCATGGACAAAATTCACATAATGCATTATCATAATTTTTCAGGCCTCCAGACCTTTCTTGACTCTTTTGAATTTAGCATTATCTATGTTTTTGAAAAAGAATTTTTAGGATAAAATACATGCCGACATGGGATGTATATTACTCCTTAGACATTGACTACAACTAGGGCAAGCAATTCTATACATGAAACATCAACCTGACACGAAATTGACATGAAGTTACGGGTATCGGTTTAGTCTTAACAAGTCCAGATCATAATCAGATTGAACTGCTAGACTTTTTTACTAAATGAGCTACTACGAACCTGGCTAAGTGCAACATAAACATGACTAAACACAACTTATCAGCGACACTACCTCGCCTATACACGATTATAAATGGGCTGAGAAAATTTTTGACACAGCATGACATACACGACTGAAAATACGACAAGAATCATTGACAGTTGTAACTCGAATTACATCAATTTCTGTTCACGTATGCCTGTGTTTCCTATTTGTGATAATCATATGTTCGTGCATATCCAATCCTTGATGCTTCTCCATGCAGGGAAAAACAATTAGTCAATGCAAAACGATCAAACATACCATGCAGGAAATCATCTAAGCTGCCCATGGCCAAGTAATCGTAAATAAGAAGCTTTGCAGTAGATAGCCTGCAGTAACCTCTCAGATTGACAAGATTTATATGTTTGATGCTACCCAAGATCTCCAACTCCCTCTCAAAAACCTGGTCAGAACCCTCACGACTTCGATCAATCCTTTTGACAGCAAATGTACCACAATCATTCATAACCATCCGATACACGGTACCAAATCCTCCTGAACCTACAACATCCTCTTCATCAAGGGATTCAAGCTTCTCTATAATCTCACAAGAAGGATATGGAAGATCACCATGGAAAGTGATAAGCTTGGTGCCTACAGAATCAAAAGCTTTAACCATTAGAAGGAAAAATGGAAAGAGAAATGTAAACTTAGAAGAGATGCCAGGCTTACTTGTTTCTTGATGAACTTGTTTTTTGACTTCAGTATATTTCTTAGCAGCCCTTTCCTTCTTCGTTAGAAACCGAACCCAGAGGAAAACTAGGAGCACAATGAATGCAAGACCTAAGGTGGACATTGCACCAATCATCACTCCTTTGATATAATGAGAAGATCTCTTAGTAGGGCCTGCAGAATTTCCACCACATCATTAGTAGCTTGAAAAATAATTTTTACTAATACTAGGGATACTTTCTTTTTGGTTGCTTTTCGAAGAATGTGACAAATGACTTGCCTGTGGCTTCGTCACTTTCAGCATGTGGCAACACTGCAGGAAATCCCAGTGAGGTTCGACATGGTTTGTTCACTTGTTGGCCGCAAAGATCTAAATTACCAATGAACCTAGGAATAAGCAACATATTTTTTTTTAGAAGTATCTCAAAGAATACAAGTGATCAAGGGCACAATGATTTTGGGTTTTGTGTGTGTGTGTGGATGCTAACAGGATTAGGAGAAGTCAGCAAATTGAATAAACAGTAGCATTTTTGGTAATCCTGAAAAAAGTCCAAAGTTATGATCTTTCTTGCGTATTTAAAAATTCCGAATTAAGGTGACTATAAGGTTACCCTACCATGTAATCACCCTGTCTGTGACAGCATACATTAATATTCCTGTTTCTAATATTTTTTATAACTATAATGTTCCACAACACATGTTTCTGGCAAATATATCTTGCAATGCTTGTTGAACAAGGGGTGCTCTAGGTACTGATTTTTAGCACTATATAGAGATAGTCCATCTTCCAATGCACATCAGGAATATCAGTCTGCAAACTCATGACTTTATCTTTCTTCTCCAGACTCCAGACTCCAGACTAGGTGATTTTTTTGTGGTTGGTACATAGGACACTATCATTTGGTTTCTGAGAAGATGAACCCAGTATTTAAGGGAAATTCACATCACGGGGCGGAGTATAAGCTGACTGCCTAACTATTGGCTATCCCCTCATCTGTCGTGTGTTAGCAGACAAGAGTTGATGTTGATTAGGGCAAGATGTGTGTTGGCAGACAGTTACCCAAAACCATTTCTTATGTTGAATACGGCACGTGTTCAACATGTCACTGGTCAGGCTAAACCACCAGCTTGAGTTACCCCCATTGTCCTTTTCATGGGCAAAATCATGGCAGTCATCCTGGCATGAGGGAAGTTTTACTCAAGCATTACGCATGATTCAGATCTTGGTGAGTTAGCAAAATTCCGATTTTCAACCCCCCAACATATCCCTGCAATCCCAATTTAAGCCAGCAGCCTTACCAAATGGCAATTTTGGGTCTATATTCGGTTCTTCATCAGAGGATCACCTTTTGCAACCCATGATATTGAGGTAGAAATCTTGGCCTCAAGTTAGTAAGGTCAATGCCACATGTTTCCCAGCGAAAAATTAGATCTTGGGGTCCATGTATCCACTGTCAGAATATACCACATGCTTGCCTTTTATTGGCCCAAGTGGAATTTTTGTCTTGAGGATTTAAAATAATACAATAGGTTCCATATTATGGAGCTCGTGGAGCACTGGAGCATACTGGAAAGCTAGGTTGTTTGTCTTCAAGTCTAGGGGCCTGAATAGCATCTTTACTAACACACACCAAACATGGCCAAAAGAACATTGTCACTGCAAACCATTGCCTATTTTTTTATCATTAGCTATCAAATTGGGTTAAAAGGAAGAAGGAATTTGCATTTAAGGACTCAAAAATTAAAATTCTGAAATTTGAAATAATGCTGAAAAGACTTACGAATTGTTCCCAAATGTGCTAAGAACTCCAACATCTGGAATTTCACCAGAAAAGAAATTTGTAGATAAGTTCCTGAAACAAATTGCACAATGATATGAAATCAAAATAGCAGCCAATTTCTCCTCAAACAACCTGCTATCATTTATGTGAACTTACAGAGACCGAAGACGTGTAAGACGGCCAAGAGAAGAAGGTATTGCACCCTTAAGTGAATTGCTTGATAAATCTCTACATAAGATTTTGAGTAATTAAAAAACACATGAAAATTGAAAATAAAACAAAAGCACCAGTGAAACTTTTCTTGAGCATGGATTGATTTTATTAATGAGAAGAAATTCAATTAAGAAAGGGAGGTAACAATAAGGGTGCTTTGAAAGCTTTTGCTAATAATGAGAACTTGAGAAATAAAAAAAAAAATCTTACAGTATGGTGAGAAAAGAAAGATTCCCAATATTAGCTGGTATGCCTCCTTGGAGGTAATTAGCCCTCAAGTACCTACATATGGTAATGTAGAGCATGTAAGTTAATCAGCAACAATGGCAATAAAAAAAACAAAAGGGGTAAAACAGAAAAGTTGCAATTACTCAACAGAGAGCAGAGATAGAGACCCATTTTCACTTACAGGGCTCTAAGTTCAGTACAATTGGTAATTTCAGTAGGAATAAGACCATGCAAGCTGTTCTGGTGAAGTGCTCTGGTGTAAATAATGGCAGCAACAAAGCATTAAACAGAATAATATCTCAGTTATTTAACTTCAATGCTAAAGAACTTTTGGGGGCTAGTAATGAATATCAAACTTACAATCTCTGTAATCTACTGAGTTTACCAATGCTTGAAGATATAATGCCACCAAGTTGCATGTAAGGTAAGTTTCTGTAGAACCCAGAAATAAAAACACAGTTAGCTTCACAATAAGCAACTAATAGGATACAGAGACATAGTCAATAATACAAGGAAAATAGGTATGGAATACATGGAGATAACTCTTTGGTCATTGGGATGGCAAGAAACACCAGTCCATTTGCACGGATATTCATCAGAATCATTCCAGTTACTAAGGAAATTGTTTGTGTCATTCAAAGTGCTTTTGAATTCCAACAATGTGATACCTAAAACAGAAAAGATCAAACCTTTAACTTTTGAAGGCAAGAACATGGCATAAAAATTCGGAATAAAATAACAATATAATATCAGAGTGTAAACTGAAGTGAAATGGGACAAACATACCATCTTGTGTGAGAGCAAGCGAGCAATAGCTCAGAAACATTGCTGCCAAAACTGCTGAGAAGACCCAAAACGACATACCCATTGTCATTTCTTGATCCAAAGAGGCTTTCTACCAAGCCAAGGGACTGTAGGGTTCTCTTGGTTATGACCTGGTCACTGTAGAGTGTAGAGTGAGTGCAGACAGAGTGAGATAGTGAAACTATGATAACTGTGGAGGCTTGTGAGTGGGAATTGTGACTATGGTATTGGTAGTGGTTAGAATGATTAAATTTAGTAATAATTAAGCTAAAGCAGAGAGAGAGAGAGAGAGAGAGAGAGACTTTCACTTGAAGGAATTTGAAAGTGGATATAAAAAGTCGTGCAGAAAAAATGGGGGAATCTCACGTTAGACCCCGAAAGATTTAAACTTTTCTATTTTGTACCTTTAAAAATGAGATTTTTACATTATAATTTTAACGTATTAAAAATATTATAATGTGATCATTCCGTTGCTTATTTCTTATTTCATCAAAACTCATTCCATTAACGCTGATAGAATGAGTACCAAAAACTAATGAAATAACCACATTGTAACAATTTTAATACATTAAAATAATAATATAAAAAAATTAATCTTTAAAAGTGGCAATTGAGAATGTTTAAAGTTTTTAGGTTCAAAGTGAAATTCTCCGTAGAAAGAAATACCCGTTGTTCATTGAAATTCAATTCGGGTAATGCTAGACATACTCTCTCGTGTATACACTACTTGAACTCGCTGCAGACAAGTGACAGGTACGCACAAAAAATATTAATGTTTTTGATCGCTTATTCCTACCTTTTAACTCTCTTTTCCCAACTTATTTATACTTTTTGCTTTAAACTACTAAGTTCATTTTATCTCTATACCCACCCACATTAATTATTAAACTTATCTTATCTATATTCACTAATTAAAAATTAAATTAATCCAATTTTATTTCAACATATTATATATGTAATGGTCAAAATTTTACTTTGATGTATTATTTTAGAACGAAAAATATTTCAGAAACAAAAAAAAATAAAAAAAAATTATTAGTCAAAATATATCAAAATATCTTAAAACATCTCAAAATATTTTATATCACCTCAGAACATTGAAATTTCTTTTTAATTACTATTTATTGTTTCAGTTTCTTTTAATATATATTTAATAATTTAATTAAATAAATATAAATAGAATAAACTTAATCATTAATAAGGTGAGTATAATTCAGGGGAATTTAGTAATTTTAAGTAAAATAATTACATAAGGTGAAAAAAGATATCAAAGGGGTGGAAAAGTGACCTACCCTAATGTTTTTTGCACATGGATAATAAATTAGAGTAGACTACTAGCAAATAGAAATAACAAGACTTTAACATAATAACTTTTATAGGATATTATACAAAAAAAAAAATTCCATATTTCACAATGTTTATCAAGTATTAATTTAATTTTATTAGCTTCTATATCTAGTGACTTTTTACATTCTTAGTAAATTTTTACAACAGATCATGTCAAGTTGGGGTTATATAATGTTAAGTATTGTTTCCTGCAATAGTTCGAGATAGCAACCTTCAGTCGGGTGAATCTGTAACAATCACAGAGTCAGAAAAAAAGAGGGCCAGGTGAACACCGGCTTATCCCCTTTGAAATTTAAGTTAGTCTAAGATCAAGCGTTTAAGCTCAAAGAATAATTTTTTTCTGGTCCAAGTTTGCGTACCTTTGTTCATTTATTTGAGGAGTATTTATACTTAAATTAACAATGATTGTCAAAGACCTTCAGTCCCATCTAGATATTTAATGTCTGACATGCCACTCCTCGCGCAATGAATGTTCTTCACTCATGTCTTCTCTTACTCAATGTTAGGATGATGGGACGAGTGCTTAGCACCATGCCGAACATTTATGCCTTTCTCCGAGTATCCAAATCCCTCAGATCGGCATCTGATACCAGTAACTAAGCATTGAATACTCGAAAGAACAGTTCCTCAAGGAGAACCAATTGTATATTCTCGGCGTATCAGTCATTAATTCTTAGTTATCATGATAGTAGGCCTAGATTTTCAAAGTACAGGTGCTCGCAAATGCATATTTATTTGTCTTGTCACTATAACTCATTCCGTCATCAATGAGGGATCACATCATATTAAATACGATGTCAGATATCGTACTCGACTCCTCCGGATCACCACACCTCGACTTACCTCCTCGACGCCTTTTGAATATCACAACGACTTCGTCATTTTACGTGTCAATCTGGGAGCTATAGAGCCACTAGAGTCCCGCCAAGTATCTTGTTAAAAATTTACTAAACTCATATTTGACTTATTTATTTTTGCATCATGTAAAATATATATCGTGTATAAGACGTATTTAATGGCTCATATTATTTCATTTATTTCACAACTGTCTATCTAAATTAACTTCTTTTTTTTTTCTGTACGTTGCCGAGTACGAATTTGGGTACCGTAGTGGAATCTGGTTTTGAAAAAAGTCTAAAGCTGCACTGCCCGAGTCTGAGTCCACCCAGAAAATTTTCAAATTGCAAGGTTTTAAGCACAGGCATCGAGGTGTATAGACCTGCTTTTGTGGTGGGACCAACAGGAGATTTTTGTCTCCTTATAATTGGAGCTATTTGAAGTTGGAGTTAGTTTTTTACCATCCCTTATAATATCTATATAATAAAACAACTAAGTTTGAATTTTTATTTCACATATATTTTTTTCCATCAAAATTATTCATCATTTAATTCTATCACATATTTAATTATTTAATATTTAATTAATTTATAATTTAACATAATTATTATTTCATATATTGTCCATACACGATATTGTACACATGTTGAAAAAATTTTGTCGAATTATACATTTTGAGAAAATTTTGATGTTATTTTTAAAAAAATAATAGATAAAATTAATTTTAAATAATGTAATCAAATAAATGAAGAAATAAAAATTATTATTTAATATAATAGGATTAATTTTTTAAATAATCAAACTTTATATTTTATCTTATTTTCGGACACAAGATATAACTGTTTATCTAAATTGTAGCTTGTGTAATAAAGAATCAAATCGTAATTCAACTCCACCCAAAACTTTCAATGTACCTTCAATTCAAATGGTATAACTCGAGTGCAAAAATTATAACATGGGTAATCCTTAGGTTGAACTCTAGTTGAATGTATTATAACTTTGGGCTGAGTTTTATTTGACCTTCCCATCTACCCGAATTGCACCATTGGTTAAAGGATAATAGAAATTATGGTAACAACATGATGTAGCATGTTTAACACAAAACTATATGACGGATTAACATCGTCGAAAGCAGTACTGATTTTGTGCGTGTTGGATCTTGCATAATATAAACACGATAACAGATCTCTTCCTTGGTGAACTCGAGTGAGTCAGTCGAGTGGTCAACCCTGTTGCTTGGAACAGCCTGTGAGGTCCGGTGGTAACCTGGAACAGTAATGGGAGACTCTCGTAGATCAATGGAACGATCCAGTAAGGCTGAGGAAGGTTCCTGGAACAAAGAAAAACAAGTTAGAATGGTGCCGGAGTATTTTTCGGCGTATCCCCTCTGACGACTAAGTCAGTTTTTGAGAGAGAGGAAGAAAAAAACACTGAGTATAATTTGTAACAAAGGTTTTTTGTTGCCTACCGTCTTGCCTTTTGTGAGGAGTATTTATACTTCAAAAACTCATGATTGCTGTCAGTGTAGTCAGTAGGTGATCATTAGGTACAGGCAACGTGCGCACTGACTCCAATGAGGAATGTCTTTTCTTTTAACTGCTCGGGATCCTGAGCAACCAAGGTTGTGTCATTGGCCTGCCGACTATTCAATGAGCTCTTTTCGGCGAGGATGTAATAAATGTCCGGCCTTAGAGACATTTATTACCTTTCACTTCCGAGCCTTACCGCATTAAATGCTGTCTCATCAAAGGAATTGTATAATTAAATGTTTGTTTTCCCAAATCGTGTGTCAGCAAGAGCATCTGGTCTTTCTCTCTCTGATGTGACACAATATGTCACGCGTTCATTCCCCATTAGCTGTGTCCCCTACCCTCCTGTGCCTTCTGACGCCAATTGTGTAAGACGAGGTCATGATAGCTAACCTAGTCTAGCATAGGCTAGTGACCTGTACATCAATAGCCTCTGCAGGAGCAGAAAATGCCACCTTGGACGGAGGTACATCTCGGAGCCGAGGGGAGGTACATATAGCGACCGATGTATCCATATCAGACCGAGGGATACGTGTCGATACGTAAACGTACTGGATGCCACTTGATCCCTATGACAAGTACCTCGGGGAAGAAGGACTTGTGAACCGATGGGTACGTGATCTCAGTAACAAGGATTTAGTGACACCGAGGACACGTGTCTTCATCTTGTAGTATTTCGGAAAATGTCCCATCAAATGCCCCCCCAGCCTTCGATCTTCTGACGTCGAGGACACGCGCCGTAAGGAGACGAAGGGTTTTACAACAACCCCAACTGCTTTATCATTGCATCTAGTCGTTTTCCCCTGCTTAGGACATCGTGCGCATTAAATGCGTCTTTTCGTGCTTCGTGCCCAATGATGGGATTAGTACTATATATAAATGGGCTTCCTCTCCTCTTTTCTCATTTCGTCATTTCGAACTTTCTCAAGAGAGCCCTTGCCTGAATCTTCGCCGGAGATCTCTTTCCTTCCGTTGTCAACTGCCCAACCTTTTCACTGAAGTCTTAAGGCCAGCAGACCCATCGTTGCTTCTGAACATTCTGGGAATCGCCTCAAGTTTTCCAGAAAAAACTCCTTTTTTCATTCTGGTAAGTCCCAGTATCTTTCCTCTCTTCGTCCTTCTGTCCCTTTTAGGTTTTCGATAACTGGAGGTGTCTCTGGTTGCCACTCAGCGACCAATCCTCAGGAAGCTTCCTTGGGGATCTTTTGAGGGAAAAACACCCTCCTTCACTTTTTTACTTTTTGGAGATGCCTCGTCGTCGCCCTGCCCCCGAGAATCCTCAGGGCAGTTCTTCGGGGTCAGGGAAGTATAAAGTAAAGGGTGGTGAGCAAATTAATAGGTTTAGGGTCAAGTACAGCATCCCCCCATACGTAGACATAGAGGATTATAACCCGGCTG